ATCAAATGATCGCTGGTTGCACGGAGCCTCTTCTTTGAGCTTTGACAGGTTTCTGTCATCTGATGTTATTATAGCATGCGATTGACAGGTGGGCAGGATCACCAACCTGCCAAAGTTTTCCTGTGAGGGGAAAAGGATCTGGCCTGCTGGTCGCAGAGGCACAAATGCTCCCTCTCTTAAGAGCTTTCCTTAGTGCATCTCTCACCTAGGTAAGTGCAGGTGCAGAAGAGAGGCCAAGGGGCAGACAAACTAGTACTCTCTCTGCCCCTCCCCCTTCAATATTTCCAAAGAGCATTAAAAAAAACCCTTTTATTTAAATTGAACATTTAAACATGTTGCACTTATTCCAAAGGCATTTTTAAGGACTTGAACCACAAGTGGAAGTCCTTATAATTTATTATTATTAATTAATCTCTTTCCCATCCTTCCTCCCAAAGGAGCCCAAGGAGCCAAACACCAAAGTGGGGAAAAATACAATTAAAAATAAAATTAAAACATATTTTAAGACATTGAGAATATTAAAAAAACCAAACCCATGTCACATACCCGGTCACATACTCTCACAGCTAATAATTTCAAGGTTGCCAGGAACAATGTATTTCAGCCATCAAATGCCTGGATAAACCTGAATGAAAGTTAATAATGATGTTATGCACGTTTCATGTTGTTCTTCTCCTTGACGCCTGCAATTATTAGTTTAATAATATCTTTCTGCTATATTGTTAGCACTAAGAATATAATGAAAGGACATCATAAGAGCCTTCTTGGATTCGACCAAAGGCCCATCATGCGCAGGGTGTTGTTTCCACAGTGGTCAAAGAGATGCCCACAAGCCACACCTCAGAGCCACAACACAATCCCTGCATGGTGTTCAGTCCCCCCTCAGCCAGGTAGCCCAAGGCCAGTCACTGCCTCTGAGCCTGGCCCCCCTCACACAGCTGTTGGGAGGATAAAATGGGCATGTGGAGCCCTTTGAGTCCCTTGGAGGAAATCAGTCAATCAACGTCGTGACTAGCGACTGTAGATAGCTTTGTCCTCAATGAATTTGTCTAGTCCTCTTTGAAGGCCATCAAGGTTGGTGGTTGCCCCTAAATCTTAAGTAGTTGAACTATGAGCTTTGAGAAGCTTTGAGTTGTATCTGTTACCTGCATCTGGGTCATGACGTCCCTTCCTCACCCCTGCAATTTGGCTGCAAAGGCTTTCTTGAGCCTAATAACAGAGCAGGGCTGGGTTGAGGGATTTCACTCTTCAGGAAACGTGCAGCGGAGGAAGGCAATGTTATCCTCTAGCAAGGTTGTTGCAGCCTCAGACATCCATCATTCCTTTGCTTCTGGACACAGCGGGATGTTGGCTCTCTAAGGTGATGCCATTTATAAACACAGCAGTGTTTGTGTGATCAATCATTAGGTGACCATTTTTGCTGTCTCGAGAGATGGCCTAGAGTCATGCACAAAGGGCCACAGGAGTGTACCTTGCAGCAACACCTCCACTGCCCTGCCTCCTGCCAGGTGGCACAATGGGTCTGTGCATCTGGCTGTTAACCAGAGGGTTGGTGGTTTGAGCCTCCCCAGGGACTGCTTGCAGGGGGTTGGTCTAGATGGCCCTTGGGATCCCTTCCAATCAATTATTAATTAATTGAAAAGCTAGTCAAGGAGGCTGGGCTAGGCATGCAGAATTTGCAGGTGCTTTATAGGTTGAAAAGTAACAGCCTTCTCTTAGGCACATAACCAATCGCTTTGTTTGTACCCACTCCTCTCATTCCTTCTTTTTGGCAAGTATAAGCACAGCCTCCTTTTCATTTCCTGCTGTTCTCTTGCTGTGCCTGTTGGCCTGGCAAAAAGCAAAGTTAATTAGACCACCTCCCCAGGCACAATGGGAACTGCATTTAGACAGAAAGCAGGAAAACGGAATGCTGCAGGCTTGTGCCTCCTGCCCTATTCCTGTAGACATCGAGAGCGAAGCTCCTTTAACAGAAGATTGCAGCCCTGTGTGTGTAGCAGCACAGGCATGGCCAGTAGCTTAAAAGACAGTTTCACATGTTTCTTGGAAAATAGATTAGAAATATTTAGTTCTTTGAGAGTCATCAAACAGTCCACTTTGCTGTGCCTTGTGCAAGTTCTGTTTAAAATAGTTTGCATTTATTTGTTTAATTTCATGCTTTATTTCAGAGTTATTGGCTAATGTTTCCTTTCTGATTTTTAGAGGGAAGTGGCGGGGAGAGCTCAAATACAACATTTAAATTATACAACATTTATATTTTTAGTATAAAAGCCAACATTTAGGAAAGTATTATTTTGGCCAGTAAGATGACCACTTTAAATTCCCCAGCCAATACATTAAATTTTTTAAAAATGAAGCATTAATGATGTTAAATTGTGGGTGAACATATCAGACGACACAGCGATTCTCCAAACAGCTCTTGTTTATTCAGAGGCCAGAACAGAACTGAACTGAAGGGTTCAGCCAGCCTGCTTATATAGAGCTCCACTACAACGCAACAGTAACCATGTTCTGTAACTATCCAATCACTGAACATCACTTTCGATCCCTTATTTGCATATGTGGACCTGAACTATCTACAGTATCCCCCAACTGGCCCAGGGTGAGAACTTCAGTACATAACAAATGATATTTCCCCCCAACATCCAGTCCTTTCATACCTTTCAACATTTTTTTTTATGAGTTCTTATAGGCTAATCTACTTTGATTCACTTCCACATGCTAAATCACTGAACCTCTCTGCCAATGTTCTGTGCTTTATTTTTTATTCAGAATTCATTATATACAAAGAAGGAAAAACAAAACAAAAAAGGTTAGCACTTTGATGTTCATTCATTGCATTCTTTTGATGACATAAGTCCCTACCAAAAGAAATGGATTAACTCGTACACATTCTTAAACCTCGAACTTCATATGGCTGTAAGGAATGGGGCAGGAGGTTAAATGCCAAGTGTATCACGGAAGAGACTTTTGTGCTTTAAGAAACAGGGTTTATTTGCCTGTTTAGACCTGCAGGGAGGAAGTGCAGATCTTACAGGATGGCCCAAAGCATTGTGGGCAACCTTCCCTCTCCCCTGCCAAGATGGATCTCAGCCCTTCTTCCGCCTCCTTTTCCCCAGGAATCCCTGCTTCCAAACTTCCTTTTCCTGCCCCCCCCTCAAACAAACAAACCATCTCCTTGGTAACATCTCACTCCCCAGGCGAAAGGATTGCTCTCCTCAAAGGCCCTTGCTTGGCCAGGCTGGTTTGCATCATCTAGCCCAGGAATTCCCTGTCTGGCACAGTTCTGCACTTCAATCCATATCCCAATTAATCAGAGCCCTGGCATTTATTAATTTAGAGGGTTTACACCACGTTACTCCCAGATATGTGGGCACAGGAGGGCAGCCTAGGAGGCTTTGGTTTAGTGTCGGCATTAGGGGAAACGGAGTTCTTGTTCTTTTCACACAACATATCTCCACAGCCAGGAGCAGCAGGAGAGAGTTGACTGCCCATGGGAATCATGAGGTTGTCTCTGGGGACAGGACCAGCAAGGGCTAGATTCTCTCTAATTTTATGTTATGCTTTGCCCACATGGCAGCCATTTTGTAACTGGTGCCCACAATGCACTCTCACAGTTCCAAATGTGGCCAGGAGTCCCAAAATGTTGGCAGCTCTTGAGTTCCATGGAAGCACTGAGTGAGCTCACTGGGCAATTTGGACTGGGATGACCCCCGCAGGCTCATCACACTCCACTCTATTTCTCTGTGTCATATGAATCAAGTGAGGCTGTTCAGGTTCTGGGCTGGTGCTTGTTAAAAAATGTAGAACTGCTACCTTGAATCAAGGTTGGGATCAGTTTGGGGCACAGAAATTGCTTGGTTGCTCTGTATGATGACCTCTGACAGAAGAGGGATGTGTGTGTGTGTCCGCCCTTGTCAATCCTCCTTGATCTGGCAGCAGGTTTCAATACCATTGACCTTGGTATCTTGCTGGAACGGCTGTCCAAGTTGGTGGGCAGCACCACTTGGCAATGGTTTCAGTCCTGTTTGGATTACCATATTCAGAGATGTTGTTTGACCTTGTGAGCCCTCAGCATAGGAGTCAACTCCTAGGGGCCATGGGGGCTTTGGCCCCCACAATAATATATTTGAGGGGGCTGGGCCCCCACAAAGTTGATGGGCATTCCAATTCAAATAGTGTGTGTGCATTGTGTCATGTGATTGATTATGCAGGGAAGGACTTACCTGGGCCCCCACAATATTCTATTCAAGTTGGCACCCCTGGCCCTCAGTGTGCCACAGGGTTTGATCCCCCCTTCCCCCACTGTTTAACATCTACACGAAACCACACTGGGGTCATCCAGAGTTTGGGAGTGCAGTGACAGCAATGTGTAGTTCTGTTTCTCCTTTACATCTGCAGGGTTTGCCGTGGATGTGCAAGACTAATGTCTGACCTCAGTCATGGACTGGATGAAAACCAACTGACTGAAGCTTAATCCAGATAGAGTGAGACATTGTTAGTGAGTGGTTCCCTAGATCAGATGGGTGCAGAGGTGGACTTTGATAATACGGCACCCTGTGCCAGGCTAAAATTTGGCATCCCCAAATGGATCTTCTCCATTTTGCATCCCCTCCAATCAGCACCCTTGATGGGGAACCACCTGTACTGCCATAAATTTGGTGCTGGGTGGGTGTGGAAGGGGTACACTGCCTCTGAAGGAGCAGCTGTGTAGCCTAGACCCACTATTGTCACTTGAGACAAGAGACCTCAGTGGTGGTCCTACTATGCCCTTATCTGCACAAGGATAGCCTAACTTCTGTTGTCTATGCTCTGAAGCTCAAGATTAGATTTCGACAATGTCTTCTGCAATATAATAAACCTAAATAAATATATTCTGTGTGACATTTTGCATCAGTTATATGTAGAGATATCAAGATCATTCATAAGTACAGTTAGAGAAAGAAATGTGATAATCAATGAAAAGAAATTAATAGATGGCCCTGTTGTCATTGCTATAGGTCATGGAACCAAAGGAGTGTTTGAACTTCTGTCAGGATGGCGCCGGACCAGAGAAAGCCTGCCGTTCAAAGACAGGGTTGCCGACGCCTACTCTGATGTGATGGTCTCCTACACCATGACAAGCTCCTTGTACTTTATCGCCTTTGGCATGGGTGCTAGTCCTTTCACCAACATTGAGGCTGTGAAAGTCTTCTGCCAGAATATGTGCATCTCCATCCTGTTGAACTACTTCTACATCTTCTCCTTCTTTGGTTCCTGCCTGGTCTTTGCTGGACAGTTGGAGCAGAATCGGTACCACAGCATCTTCTGCTGTAAAATCCCCTCAGCAGAATACCTGGAAAGGAAGCCTATTTGGTTCCAAACCATGATGAGTGATGGCTACCACCACTCTTCTCACCACGAAACTGATCCGTACCAGAACCACTTTATACAACATTTCCTGCGGGAGCATTACAATGAATGGATTACTAATATCTATGTTAAGCCCTTTGTGGTGATACTGTATCTCATTTATGCTTCCTTTTCCTTTATGGGCTGCTTGCAGATCAGCGATGGAGCCAATATTATCAATCTTCTCTCCAGCAATTCTCCAAGTGTCTCCTATGCTGTTGTTCAACAGAAGTACTTTAGCAACTACAGCCCAGTGATAGGGTTCTATATCTATGAGCCCCTTGAGTACTGGAACGGCACCGTCCAAGATGACTTAAAGAAGCTGACTGAAGGTTTCAACACCCTGTCCTGGATTCAACAGTATTATCAATATCTGAAAGCTGGGAATATTAGTGCCACCAACAAAAGCTATTTCCATAGCATCCTGCAAAGCTCCTTTTTAAGAAAGCCAGAATTCCAGCACTTCAAAAATGACATAATTTTTTCCAAGGCTGGAAATGTTAATAGCATAATTGCATCCCGCATGTACCTTGTGGCTAGGACTAGTGAAAAAACACAGAGAGATGTTATTGAGTTACTGGAGAAGCTGAGACCCCTGTCTCTGAAGCAGAGCATCAAGTTCATCGTGTTCAACCCCACCTTTGTCTTCATGGACCAATACAGCCTCTCTGTAACCATGCCGGTCTTGATTTCAAGCTTTGGCATCTTACTGGTGTTGCTGCTTACCTTCTTCCTGGTGATCCATCCTCTAGGGAACTTCTGGTTAATTCTCACTGTCACCTCAATAGAGTTGGGTGTTCTTGGCTTGATGACTTTGTGGAACGTTGACATGGATTGCATTTCCACACTGTGCCTTATTTACACTTTGAATTTTTCCATAGATCACTGTGCACCCCTGCTTTACACATTTGTACTAGCAACTGAGCACACCCGAACTCAGTGTATCAAAAGCTCCCTCCAAGAACACGGAACAGCAATTTTGCAAAACGTTACTTCTTTTCTTATTGGGTTGGTCCCCCTCCTTTTCGTGCCTTCAAACTTGACCTTCACACTGTTCAAATGCTTGCTGCTCACTGGCAGTTGCACACTTCTGCACTGTTTTGTAATCTTACCTGTCTTCCTAACATTTTTCCCACCCTCCAAAAAGCACCACAAGAAAAAGAAACGAGCCAAACGAAAGGAGCGGGAAGAGATTGAGTGCATAGAAGTTCAAGAGAATCCTGATCACGTGACAGCAGTCTGAGTCACGCAGAACTACATGGTTTTTAATTGCGAAAAGAAATGCTACACTGAGCTGGAGGGAAAGTAGAGCAAAGATCTCCGCTGCTTGAGCTGGCCCACACAAAACAAGTCTAAGGAAGCCCCCAAAAGGAGTATTTGTGGCACATGGAGGTGAAAGTGTTGTTAAATAATAACCAGAGGTGTCTTCCCCCCCTTTTAAGGGTAGAGGAGGAAAGCAAGCCCCAAACTTCCCCTATGATCCTCTCAATTCACTGAGGGAAATGTTCCACAATACCCTATAATACAAATGGAAGTTTCTGAGTAATATCTGTTGGTGTCCCTCTGCTGATGGAAGGCACCCCTCAGTGGAATGGGAAGAGAGGCCATTTTGGGCCATTTCCCCTCCCCTGCAGCCTTTGCTGTGTAGGGTGGTGGGGCTCTCTAGAACAGATACAGGGGCTGGGCAAGGGGCTGAAGGGGGAGGCAGAATAATTGACTAGAATCCCGCTCTCCCACTGATGGATGTCTTTCAACAGCACAGAGACCTCCCTGGGCACCACTCCATATTGCCAAGTTCCATTACCAATAATTTTCAAGCCAGAAAAGGTAACAAAAACAGAGGGGAAGTAGTTATGGTCATAATAGGGAGCATGTTTATTTTAAGAGATTGGTCTAAGTAAAACCTATGCAGTTGGAAAGAAAATGTTCAGTAAATCAAAGCCAAAGTACTTCCCTATGTGCCGCCATGAAAAACTGTGCCATTTGTTCAGAGAGTAAACCTATGCTCCCCTAAAATTAATTGGAGAGAAATTGGCTAAGCAGGCCTTTGGCGATACTCCCAGGGCACTTGGGACCATCAGAGGCAGCCCTACGTATGTCAACCTGAATTCTAAGAGAGGCTGCTGGCTGCGCCACCTGTAATTTTTGCAGTGCTGTCCTTTGGCTTCCTACACATTCTCTGCACCAACATTAGACCAGAATACTAATTAGGCAGATGTGTCCACCGTCACAATAGCTCAGGCTCCAAAGACACAGCATGGAGATCACTTTGTGCCTGAATCAAAAGTATTGAGCACAGAGCAAAGGGAAGCTCCACGTGTGAAGTTCAAAGTGAAATACCATTTCTCTGCCCTGAAATATTCTCTAAACTGCGCATCTTGTGTTTCACATCTTGGCAAACTGATCAGTTGATGATGCCTTTTGCCACAAAATATAACAATAATGAGAGTTATTAAACATAAAGGCACCAGCTGCTTGGGAAATTGGTTTTTATGCAGCATTACTATTAAATGCCTGATAGAATGTCTGAGGCAAAGCAAAGCTTTATGGCTGTTGAGAATTATAGATGAACGCAGTAAATTTGTCTCTTACTGCATGAGATTAGAGTTATACCATTACAAAAGGGTAGTCTCTGCTTTACAAAGTATACAAGCTTAGAAGTGCAAGAGAAGGAATGGAAAGAGAGTGAGCCAATAATACTCAGAGAGGGTGATATTTTGCCCTGAGTTAAGCCACGTATTTCTCTCTTCCAAAAAGCATTCTAGAAAGTGTTTGCTTCCTGCATTCTTGAATGCAATCTAGCCTTGCATAAATAATGTCTTCCTGCAATATATTCCATATGTTACAATCACTGTTTAAAACAAATGTCAAAGAGAGTGTGAGGAAGGGGTTCATCCCTTTCGAAGGAGGTTCAGACCGACCGCCCAGTCCTTCCATGCATGTGGCTGTGTTTGTAAGAGGGGACTGACACACCGCTCAGTGGAGCCCTCCCTTCCTTCCCCAGCTGCCCCTTCAATAAGGTGGGGTGAGTAAATCCTAAGCAAAATCCTGGGGATGAGGTGGAAGTGCTCACGATTGTCCCACGGAAAGTAATGACAAGCCAAAATATTGGCAATGCAGGGGAGAAAGGGGGCTTCCATGCCCCACGTGCAGCCACGTCCCATGTTCTTGGTTGTAGCTGCTATCTTAACTTCCATGACACCAATGCTGTAAACGGATTCTGATTAGCAAATATGTCTGATCCAAAGCCATATTCTGTAAAAAACACACACACCATATTATGTCATATTGAGTCAGACCATCTAATTCTTATTCTGACTGGTGGTAGCAATTTAAGACTGAAGGCAGATTTCCTTTTAACTGGAGATGCCAGGGATTTAATCTGGGACGTTCTACATGCAGAAGATGCATTCTAGCAAAGCACTGTTATGTCTCCGCAGCTAAAGTGTTGTGGATAACTATTACCCTGCTTATACATTTTCCATCTCCATTGATTTTATTTTATGAAAAGCATATCCTAAAAAAAGGTAACTGCTCTCAAAATCCCCATATATGCCACCTGCTGCCACAAGATGCTAATATTTTTCACTTATTTTCTCTGTTGTCAACATCAGTATCTGAAATGTTTAAATCCAAACGGAAAAGTTTAACTTAGTGTGGAATTTGTCTGCTCTTAATCTGGACGTTCACCATTTGGTTGAAATATTCTCATTGGCAGGTCTTTGTCTACAGCATTTGAAGACTCAAGTATTCTCATCTGGTAAATCAGCATTTTAAATTATGAGCAACGCCTTAATGTCACATTTTGGTACATCAAATCTTTTGAAACTTGATTTTGTAACAGGCTACATTTTAAAATCTTGTCATGCCAAAATCAGGGATGGGTGGGAAGAAGATGGGCATTGCAGCATTTGTCGAGGACTCACATACTCATTCATCACAATCTCTTGTCTTCCTGAACCCATTCAGATGACAACAGGTGAGGTCCAAGCATGGTGAGAAGGGAAGAGAGGATGCTTTACCTGAGGCCGGCCGGGGGGTGGGAAAAGACCAAGGCTACTTGATCGCCCATCTGATTGCCCTGTATCTATAGCCCTATGGAAATGATCAAAGTTATGTGTTAGATGCTTTAGGTGGCACCTCTCCTGTTCCATCCCCACCATCAGGCCTCAGTGCCCTTCACCTGTTGGAGGTTGAAGGTGTGCAGCAAGGAACCCAGTAAACTTGTGCCGTCTTCCAGCATGATTTAGATGATTGACTCTGCAGGGTTCTTGAGCACTTGGAGGGTTTAATGGGGCCAAGAGACAAGGATGCAGCTCACGGCTATCAAGCATCCCTGCTTTGCCTCTCTTTGTGCAAGGACAAATTGGACAGAGTTTATATTGCTCTATATCTTTATGGTGATATTTCCTGGAGCCAAACAGAAGTAGTGTTAGAATGTGTATGCATGTTTGTGTTTGTTTGTTTGTGTGTTTGTGTGTTTGTGTGTTTGTGTGTTTGTGTGTCTGTGTGCGGGTGTTTGCTTGTGCAGGAAACTCTAGGAACTGTAGATTGAAAAAGTGGTACACCTTTCCATCTCTCTCTTGTGACATAATCTGTCAAGCACTAAAAGAGATCCTTTGTTCTTCATTCATTTCCTACACTCATAGGCAGGAGGAGACTGCAAGGTATGGTAGTCGGAATGAGGGACTAGCACCATAAGAATCTGGTAGATGGAGGGCCAAACTACAAGTGTTGACACTTAAATCGTGTGAGTATATTTTACAGTTACAAATAGCAGCCTCCCAGGGAGAACAGGGTTCAGGCTATTGTGCCAGGGAGGAGGAACGAAAAGCTACTACCACAGTCCCAAAGAAAGTCTCCCCTGAAGCTGCTGCTTGAATTACAGTAGTAGGGATCCCACTGCTACCGAAGGGTGCTTTCCTCCCAAGGCAAACAGCAGCTTGCGGGGAGACAGTTTGCATGAGAACCACGGCATGGGAGGACTGGATTAACTCCCCTACTACAGGCCGTGGCCCTAGTCATAGTTGCAACTACTGTTTGCAAAAAGGTTATCTTGCAATTTCTAAAAATCCAGGAGGCCTTCTCTCTCCTTCTCCTCCACCTCTTTATCTCTGTCTTTTTACTGAGCTCATAGAAATGAGCTTGAGCACCCCATACAGAAAGAGGCAGACACCTCCTACCTTGCAAATCATTCATTATACAAAGACTATGCCCATTCTCACCTGTTTCCAGGCAGGTTCCTTCCACAGTGCTTTGAAGGCAGGGGCGTAGGAAGGGGGGCGGGGGCGGACTGACCCAGATGTCATCCCAGAGGGGGGAGACAAAATCCCCCCCAGGCAGATCACCGCCATGCCAATCACCGCCCTGGGCGGATCGCCCGGCCCCCAGGTGCACGGGGTGTGCGCTGCTCCGGGTGTCTGAGCGGCTGGCTCTGCCGCTGTTTAAAGGCGATTTCTTTTCTTATGCCATGTGATAAAGGAACAACTATAGAGACAAAAATAAACCCCTGTGTTGCAATACAGAATAATCTGCTCAAATGCAGCTGCAACACGTGGCTAATGAGTATAGTAAATGTGTTATTAGTAATAGTAGAATGTCATCCAAAATTACAATTCATCAACTTCAAAATAATATATATATCAGTCCATAACCAAGAAGTAGTCGACGAAATGAATTGCTGGCGGGGAACACCATGATGCCTTTCAGTGGATGAAGTCCAAGACAGTATATCCGGATTGAATTAATTGTTTCAAAGATGAATCTTTGTCAGCTGATGATGAAATTGAATACATTACATACAATGAATGACTTCTTGGTTACGGACTGAAATATATTGTATACATTGGAGCAGCCTTTGGCTATAAGCAATAAACTTTGACTGGCTGACTGATATATATATTATTTTGAAGTTGATGAATTGTAATTTTGGATGATATTCTACTACTAATAATAAAACATTTACTATATTCATTAGCCATGTGTTGCAGCTGTATTTGAGCATGTGATAAAGGAAGGCAAGAGGAAAACATTTTGAGAGGACCTGAAATGCCCCTTTCAAGACACCATTGTAGCTTATCAATGTATTCTTTTTTTTTTTTTTTGCATTAATACTGTATCTCTGTTACACAGCATTCTTGATCTGTCCTTTGGTTACAGCAGAGCTGTTACAGCAGGAATCAGACTAACTTTGGAGACAACTTTGGAGAGTTGCTATGTTCTTTTGCTGTTTGTGTTAGCCACCCAAGGAATACATGTGATTTATACTAGACATATATAGTAACAGTGCAATATATAAATGTCTACTCAGAAATAAGCCCCAGGAGAGCAATTCTATGCTCTGCAACTAGGTCTGGAATGATAACAACAATTTTTGGGATGGTAGGGGCAAGAATAAGGGGGACATCACACCCCCCCCCCGTGTTTTGTTATAAAAAGCACATCAGAGATGGTCTGAATCAAAATGTGGCTACAAAGTAATATTTAAAGAGCTCAAAAACAATTATGTATTTTTCTTTGTTTATCAGTCAGCCAGTAAATACATACTTTAGTAATTACCTTCAATATGTGCAGATGTAAGCAAATATGTTCATCTCTGAGGTGCTACTTCATGCTATAAAAGAAGGGGGACGGTAGAAATGGTAGCTGTTTGGAGGCTTGGTTGTGAGTTTGTTTGTGGGGGGCCACGTGCTCAGCTAGAGTGCATGGTATGAGTGCATGGCTACTGCTGAGAGGAAGCCAGGCTGGAGGAGGAGGAATCAGAATTGTAGAGTTGGAAGGGTCCCAACGGTCATCTAGTCCAGCCCCCTGTGTTGCAGTAAGTGAGTTGTGGAATGATTTAGCAGCCAGCAGCAGCTTGACTTGTCTGCTTGCAGTCTCTGGGAGCTCGTGGCCAGGACACCTAAGCAGGGGCCTTGTGAGGGAGAGGGCTGGAGTGTGGTCTCGTGGTGGGCATAGGACCAGGAGGCTGGGGGCTGAGGGAGCTTCTGCAGCGCCCGGAAGCGCCTGTGCCGTGTTTGCCTTCCTGCCTGAAAATGTGCAAAACTGCCCCTGCAACAAGTGCAAGCATTGCGGGAGGAAAAGGCACAGCAATTGAGGCCTTCCTGTCTGCGCTTGGAGCTACTGGGCAAGTTGAGGGATTTTTTGATAGAGCAGAGCGGTCTGTCCAGGATGTGTGCACTTGTGAAGGAATCCGTGACCTGGAGCATAGAAGGCAGATGGAGAGTACAGTGGTACCTCGGGTTACAGATGCTTCAGGTTACAGACTCTGCTAACCCAGAAATAGTACCTCGGGTTAAGAACTTTGCTTCAGGATGAGAACAGAAATCGCACGGTGGCAGCGGGAGGCCCCATTAGCTAAAGTGGTACCTCAGGTTAAGAACAGTTTCAGGTTCTTAACTGGATCTCCAGAACGAATTAAGTTCTTAACCCGAGGTACCGCTGTATATGGGTAAAAAATGTAGGAGAGAAAAAGACCAGTGACCTTATTGTGGGGGTCTGCTATATAGACCTCCAAGCCAGACTGAAGACTTGGATGATGCCTTCCTACAGCAGGTAGGAAACATTCAAAAAGGAGAGATATAGCAGGCTTAGTCGTTGTTTGAGGACTATCCCTGCCTCCAGGTCTGGTCCTGACCGGAAGGATACTGGAATCAGCAAGGGAAACCCACATGACCTGAAAGTATTGCTGTGCAATGCCAGGTCAATGATGAATAAAACCACTGCCATCCACGACCTGATTGTGGATGGAGGATTTGACCTGGCATGTGTGACAGAGACCTGGTTGGATGAAGCAGATGGGCCTGTTCTTGCCGCTGCTTGCCCACCAGGTTTCTCTTACACACAGCAACGCAGGTCATGTGGGCGGGGAGGGGGGGTTGCAGTGATTTTTAGGAAGTCATTAGTCTGCACCAGGCGTCCTATTGGGAAGACCCAGTTTTCCGAGTGCATGTTCTGGAAGTTGGGCAATAGGGGCAGTACAGGATTCCTGTTGGTGTACTGACCTCCCCGCTGCACCAAGGATTCCCTGCCCGAGCTGCTTCAAGTTGTGGTGGATGTTCTGGAGACACCTAGCTTGGTTGTCCTGGGGGATTTTAACATCCATGCCGACACGATCTTACAAGGGGCTGCTCGGGACTTTGTGGAAAGCATGGTCTCCATGGGGCTGTCACTGAATAAGTTTGGTGATCTGACACTAACTAAAAGTGAAACAAAAGAAGTGCCATGGTGAGATCACTTCCTGGTGCAACTGGACTTCTCCGTGACCCTTCCCCTCTGCAGGGAGGTGGGACCGATTCGGATAGTCCGCTCCTGCTACTTAATGGATCCAGTTGGCTTCCAGAGAGTGGTAGGGGATGCTTTATCCCAAGTTGATGGCCTTTCAGCTGATTCCCTGGTGGCACGCTGGAATGTGGAGTTAACCAGGGCTATTGACTGTCTGGCTCTGAAGCGCCCTCTCTGATTGCATGGAGCCCGGACAGCCCTGTGGTTTTCCCTGGAGCTGAGGGTGATGAAATAATCGTTGAGACGGCTAGAGTGCCGGTGGTGGAAAACTCATTCTGAATCAGACCAGACACGGGCTAGAGCTCAACGTCGAGCCCACCAAGTGGCAATGGCGTCAGTGAAGAGGGCCTTCTTCGCCGTCTCCATTGCATCTGCAGAAAACAGCAGCAGGAGACTTTTTCAGGTGGTTCGCAATCTAGCAGAACCACCTGTACCACCGGGGCCTGGTAGGGACCCCAAGATCTCCTGCAATGCTTTTGCAAAGTTTTTTGCAGATAAAGTCGCTCAGATTCAGAAGGAGGTAGACTCCACCGTGGGAGCAGGGCCAGGGCGGGAGAGTGCTAGAGTTCTGTCTGGTCCTGTTACATGGGATCAATTCCAATCTGTTACCTCCGAGGATGTCTACCATTCTTGGGCAAGGTGATTGAGCGAGTGGTTGCTGAACAACTCCAAGCACGCCTGGAGGATGCGGACCAGTTGGATTCCTTCCAATCGGGATTCAGGCCTCACCATGGGACTGAAACTGCCTTGGTCGTGCTGGTTGATGATCTCCGTCGGGCTAGGGACAAAGGTGAGAGCTGTTTCCTAGTTCTGCTGGATCTCTCAGCTGCCTTTGACACCATCGACCATAACATCCTTCTGGACTGTCTTAAGGGGCTGGGAGCTGAGGGCACTGTCATACAGTGGTTCCGCTCCTTCCTCCTGGGCTGGTGTCCAGAAAGTGGTGTTGGGGGATGAGTGTTCAGACCCCTGGGCTCTCACTTGTGGGGTGCCTCAGGGTTTCGTCCTCTCCCCCATGCTTTTTAATATCTATAAGAAGCTGCTGGGAGAGATCATCAGGAGGTTTGGGCTGGGTGTTCATCAATATGCAGATGACACCCAGCTCTACCTCTCCATTAAATCAGAACCAGTGAAGGCGGTGAAGATCCTGTGTGAGTGCCTGGAGGCGGTTGGAGGATGAATGGCGGCTAACAGATTGAGCTTGAATCCTGACAAGACAGAAGTACTGTTTTGGGGGGACAGGGGGCAGGCAGGTGTGGGGAATTCCCTGGTCCTGAATGGGGTAACTGTGCCCCTGAAGGACCAGGTGCGCAGCCTGGGAGTCATTTTGGACTCACAGCTGTCCATGGAGATGCAGGTCAATTCTGTGTCCAGGGCGGCTGTCTACCAGCTCCACCTGGTACGCAGGCTGAGATCCTACCTGCCCGCAGACTGTCTGGCCAGAGTGGTGCATGCTCTAGTTATCTCCCGCTTGGACTACTGCAATGCGCTGTACATGGGGCTACCTTTGAAGGTGACCTGGAAGCTGCAATTAATCCAGAATGCAGCAGCTAGACTGGTGACTGGGAGTGGCCGCCGGGACCACATAACATCGGTCCTGAGAGATCTGCATTGGCTCCCAGTACGTTTCCGAGCTCAATTCAAAGTGTTGGTGCTGACCTTTAAAGCCCTAAACTGCCTTGGTCCTGTATACCAGAAGGAGCGTCTCCACCCCCATCGTTCTGCCCAGACTCTGAGATCCAGCACCAAGGGCCTTCTGGAGGTTCCCTCATTGCGAGAAGTGTGGTTACAGGGAACCAGACAGAGGGCCTTCTCAGTAGTGGCACCTGCCCTGTGGAACGCCCTCCCTTCAGATGTGAAGGAAATAAGCAGCTAGCCTATCTTTAGGGAAGTTTTTAATATTTAATGCTGTACTGTTTTTATCACTTGATTGGGAGCCACCCAAAGTAATTATTATTATATATTATATTATATTATATTATATTATATTATATTATATTATATTATATTATATTATATTATAATGGGGGACTTCAACTTCTCCAGTATCTGTTGGAACTCACACTTTACCAGGAATGTAAGTTCCAAAAAATTCTTCCATTGCCTCACTGACAATTTCATTTCCAAGACGGTGGAAGAAGGAACAAGGGGATCATCATGTTTTGGACCTGCTCCTCACCAACAGGGAGGAACTGATTGATGAAGTGGAAGTACTGGGAACCTTGGGAGGAAGTGATCGTGTTCTCATATTTGCTTCAGTGCTGTCGACATGGTTTTGGGATGTCAAACCAATGGTACAAACTCAGGCCACTTTTATACTAACATCTTCCGGTACATTTTTTGAAGTTGGTGGAATTCAATATCCATTTTGTTCTCTTCCAGCTCTTCCTTGAGGGTTTTCAAGGAAGTATAAATCAGGGATGGGGAGCCTCCATCTATACTATCGATGGACTGCTTCCATTAGTGACTGCACAGATGTTTTCATCCATACTGCGTACATTTTTCAGAGAGCCATCCATCCCATCTCTGCCACTTTGAAGGATGTCAATTTTGTAAGTACATTACGAATATTGGCATGGGATGTCCATGAATTTTTTTGCCTAGCGTCATAGATGTGTCTAACATCAATGTCATAGCCATCTTCTGGGGAAATCACTTGCTTAGTCTGTTTCACAGGACTACATTTCCACTGGAATGTAGCTTCATGGAGATTTTTCTGTGTGTAGTCAACTGAAAGGTTCTGAAGAATATTTGTCCATTGCAAAATAAATAAATAATAAATCTTTGCAGAATGGGATGCACGGTGACTGTGTCAGTCTTCCTGGGCTGGATTGCCTACAAAATTGTGTTACAGCATTTGCTAGTGGGCTCATCCATGCTTCAACTTGTCTGTCCCACTGCTTCCCCCCACCCCACCCCAGGGAAAGCAGCTCTTACGGCTCATGCAGAGCAAACGGCAATTTGGGTTTTCTCTGGATTGCCGTTTGTTCCAATTTAGAACTAAAGAATGAATTTTCCATTCCATGGGAAAGGAGTGAGGCAAGGGGGAAACCGCTCATGCCTAGGAAGGGTGGGTCAAGTGGGAAACTGCTTGGTCCCCTGCTTTCAGGGCATGGGAGAAGCAGCAGCGTGGACAAAGCTCTCAGAGTCTCATATCACTGTTTCACTCAACCCAACTTGCCTTTACGGGTGCCATCTTGAGAACAAGCTCTCTCCCGTGATGCCTTGTGCCTGCTGATGTGCTCTGATGTGCTGCCTGTATGCATGTTCAACGTGATTAGGCTTCTCTGCTATGGCATAAAACCTATGCATGGGCACTAGGACTTTCTGTAAGACTTCCTTCCTTCCTTCCTTCCTTCCTTCCTTCCTTCTACATAGGATCCTTTTGGATATTAACATTTTAGCAGAAACAAATAATAGCTGTTCTGCTTTACACTGTAAGTGGAATAGTAGCTCTGCTCCCATGCGCCATACACTCTGCAGCCCTGTGGACAGTCCTCCCTTCCCTTTGACCGATCAGGATTTCCCCATCAACCATCATAGGCCAACTACTCTTTTGGAAATAGTGCAGCTAGCTGAGGTCTGAAAAATAACAGGAAGTGAGGTGTTTTCTTCAAAATGAGTGAGTGAACAAAGAATGTGCCTGCCCAGGAAGCAGACATTGTGCGCAGTCAACATCCAGCCTTAAAACTTTTGTCTGGCTCATATTCATCCAAGTCAAGTGTATGGAGGCCATTGATTTGCAATTTATAAAGAAATGTTACAAAAACATGGACCCCCCCCATCAACTAAGCAGGACAGCTCAGTTGGAAAGAGCATGAGACTCTTAATCTCAGGGCTGTGGGTTCGAACCCCACGTTGGGCAAAAGGATTCCTGCATTGCAGGGGGTAGGACTAGATGACCCTTGTGGTCCCTTCCAGTTCTACAGTTCTATGTTTCTAAGGCTAGACTAAAGTGATCAAGCATAAAGGAATATCATCCCATGTAAGGGAGAGATTGACAGCTGTTCTGAATGTCCAACTCACACCACTGCACTTGCAGATGCCAAACCATTGCAGGCAGACATCTTCAAGAAATCCATGCCCTAGCATTGCATCACAAATCTCCCTTGGAACCCCCACATGTAACCAATTATTCCATGACTAGCAGAATTGCTGCCTAAGAAAATATATAAATAAAGGTGCAATCCCCGCAGACTGTTTTGCTTGCCAGATTGGCAGCTCTGCCTCCAGGGTCTGGCTGTGCAGCAACATCCGCGGTGCCCTTGGAAGTGGGGCGGAAGAGGCCCCTTTCTCATGATGCCGCCTTAGGGTGTGCCTGAGCGTCCACATGGCAGGGCAGGTGAGGACGCTCATCCACAACCAGTTTCTTGGACTGCATCTGCACTGCCATAGTTTCTTCTATGTGTATGTAAAATATATTTTGTATCTCTGTGTGTATTCAACTCAGCTATCATTTGGGGCCTGTGTTGTTCCTTTCAGTATCTAAATCCTTGAATGCCATTTATTGATACATGTGGCCCATTCTTTGGCATTGTTTCTGAAGCTACCATTTCATAAGGACATGTGAACATGGATACATGATAACTCATGAAAAGGTTTATGCAGGAAGCTGGTTTTGGTAGCCAAACAGGTTTGGGGGCTTCTTTAAAGCCAAGAAGCTTTGAAAAATAACACTAGCTACTGTTACCACCAATATGATCTAGTGAATGTGCTGGCATAGGGGCAGCAATAATGAGACCCCAAGAAACCTGGAACCAGCACTGTTGTTTCAAAATGCCTTTCCTCCCTCAAATAGACATTTTGAAACACACACACACAAACATCAAATCAGCACGAAAACGTTCAGGAAATATGGAAGATGGCTAGCTAAGCAGCTTTAGTCCAGGAGGTGACCCTCAAGTCAGGTCATGGCCTTTTTGGCTAGGATTACACAATTGAGCAGTCCAGAAATCATTGCCTTCGAGTTTGTTCTACACAGGTTTTCTTGCCCCTGTGAGAGCAGCGCGCAACCAAATCAAATTGCCTATGCAGCATCACATCCAGTACAACCCCTATGGGCTGTGAGAAAGAAGCCCTGGCCTGGGAAAATGGCACTGAGCAGCATTAGCAGATATGTTAGTGAGTAGCAAGTGGTCCCTCCCTCCCACCCCCCAAAAAGTGAACCTTTTCTTAGTTGGCTCCCACTTCCAAAACCTGGAAGTCAAAGTCCTACTTGAAGTTAAAACTGGTGCCAGTAAGTAGCATAAGAGACAGGAGGCAGGGAGATAGTTTTATATTTGAAGGCTGCCTTTCCAGTTTAAGGTTATCAGGGACAGTAACACCCCATCCCAATAAGCGTCAGAGCGCCTGAAGGGTTCGAAGGCAACCTCCATGTGGAATAATAGAGAATATCGGGAGCTGCATGGATAGACTTGGCCCCAAGCAGGAAGCGGGGAAGAAGCACATTCAAGTTGACTTACACGAGGTTGAGGGAGAAGCTACTCACTTCACTATTTGATGTTCCAAAATCAGGAAACGGCCTCAGAGGAGCAGGTGGCAGCGATGTGGCCACCAGCACTCTGGCCCAGTTAGTCACATTCGCGGGGACTGGACCCTCATAATAATTCCTATGCTGCCTTTCCATGTCATTGAACAACAAGAAAACTCCACATTGGACGCAAAGATTGTGGAAAGTGGATTGCTAAATTTAGGTTCCTAAAAAATTCATTTAAGGCTGAATTATTTAGGTATAGAAATGTGACCTGAATTTCAGAAATGTTCAGCATCCTGCAGGTCTTTCTGACTATTTACACGTAGCTTGAATATATATATATATATATATATATATATATATATAGGGAGGGGGAAAATAGGATGAGGGAAGTTAAGGGGAGAGATGGGGGGGGAGGGAGGGAGATAGCTCCATTCCTCCATGCTTCCTACCAACAGCTCCCATCCGCTTCTGTACAAGGGAGGTGGGATCTCTTGAGGACTTGTGAGAAAGGCTGGTAATTACAAATACATTTACATCTCTTGGAGGCGTTTTCCATGTTGCTTCTAATTCCTGGTTCCAATATAAACTGAGCAGTGATATCAGAAATACTTATGTGAGGTGGCCCTTTTGAGGTGGATGATCACACATTTTCCCTGAACTCCTGGTGCAGATGGAACATGAAAGGCCATGGTAGTTTCCCCTAGTGTTAACTTCAGGGACAATAAAACACAACTGAAGAGAGGGAGAGGGAGAGGGAGAGGGAGAGGGAGAGGGAGAGGGAGAGGAAGAAGAAGAAGAAAGAAAGAAAGAAAGAAAGAAAGAAAGAAAGAAAGAAAGAAAGAAGAAAGAAAGAACATTACATAAAAGAACTAGGACATTGTTAATATGTTGGTTAATATGTTTGTGGGATAGGTTTTTAATAGCTGTGAGTTAAATACAGCTGTAAAACCACCATCACTGATAAATTCTGATAAACTATTATTATTACCATCAATTCATAATCGTAGGGAATAATAGTTTCTGTTGGATTGGAGGTTTGCACAAAAAGGACACTGAGTTTAGAAACAATCAGCCCCACTTTGCATTTTAAAAATATGGGTTAGAGAAAAAAGAACATGCAAAAGCAGCATTTTTTAAAGCCCCCCATTAGCATAATCTGCATAAGTTTGTAGCCAATTAACTTTTACTCAGAGTAGGCCCAACTGTTTACATCCAATTATTCTTTCAGAACCTCAAGGTGGTGAACATGATTCACCTCTTCACCAGTTTATCTTCATGTTAATCCTTTGAGATAGGTTTGGGTTAAGAGATTATGACTAGCCCAGGGTCAACCTGTGTGAGTTTCATGGCTCAGTCGGGATTTGAACCCTGGTCTCCTGGGTCTTAGTCCTGCTGAGGGACTTAATAATATTTATTGACATGGAATGTGCAGCAGTGTCTTCTGCAAAAAAATAAGATCCTAAAAATCCCACCACATAACTACAACCTTCAGACATATTTCAATGTATAGCTATGCTGTTATTTTGTTGCTGCTGTTGTTGTTTAGTCGTTTAGTCATGTCCGACTCTTTGTGACAATTCATATGATTTTCCATCAGTTGAAAGGAAGCTGAGGTGAAGGCCATATTTCTCATTTAGGGAACAACTGAAAGTACCTATAGGTTGAAACTGTTGGAGCATCACAACAAAGCTTGGACCTGAGGGATTCACCACCTTCTCATTCCTCCATCCCCTGCCAACCCAGAGACCTAGCGGAATGAGCTTTCCGCCTATTGTTTCCTAAACTTGATCTTGGATTGAGAAGAGATCCTCCCATTGTTTCCAGTGGGACAGAAATCACCCACTTAAAAGCCTGGAGAAAGAGAGCTGTGCTAGAGGGCAAACCTGGCTGGGTGTTGGATGTGGTGCTTCGGCTGCCTTCCCTTCTTTCCCTTGAGGACGGCAGACGAATGAGAAACGTTCATTTAATCCTCACTCTGTTCTTAACAAGAGAGTATCAAATATGCTATGCAAAATGAAATGCAAACTTTACATTCCATGTTGTTATTTCAGTGCTGTTGTTCATTTTACGGAAACAAAGTAGAGATTTAAACTTCCTCAGACTTTTATTTAATGCCAGGCTTTTACCACCGAAACTGTGATCCTGGGAAGCCCTTTCTAAGTTGCTTAAGGAAGTCATACGCCTTTTGCATTCCTTGCCATTTGCAGAGCTGCCATCACAACCAAGCCATAAACTCCACCATCTGCAGTGGGGAAGTGCTGGTCTTGGGGGCGGTTGTGTGGTGCTGAATTTGAGGAGATGCAAAATATTGTGTGTTTATCAAAGATAGCAATTAGTATTCAGTCCAGTTAATGGGAGATACTACTGTAGGCTTCAATATTGCCATCTGTTTCATGGAGCATTTAAGTGTATTGTAATACACTTGATCCATCAAAAACTTCTTGCATTCATTACAGTGGGATTTGGAGGGGAGAGCCGCAGGTTCCATAAGAAAATGAGAACTCTGGAACAGCAATGCATTGAAGTCCCCCAGACCATTTTAGGGACTGAAAGAGAGCCCACCGGATCCAATATTTGTGTGAAGGTTGTATTTCACCAATTTGCATGCTCTTCACAACATAACATACCAGCACATACTCCAGTACAAAATTACGGAATGGGCCGTATGAGTTATAGTGTTGATTAACTATGCTAATCGGCACATATTTACATTATTTTACAGGGTTCATTGTATTAGGATTCCTTATACAGCTTTATTATTTTGTTGTAACCATCAGCTGTTTGGCTCACTGAAAATTGTCAAGGAATCCAGATTATTAGTATTGTCCTATATGCAGTTATTCGTAGGGTGGTGACTAATATACATTTTATATTAGAAGTGTAGATTGGGCGATGATAACCTGATGAATGCTCTCAATTATTCTGAAGTTTTGTTATGTTTATCTTCTGGGGGGAGGGCACTATTCTCAGTATCTTGCCAAAATTTACCAGCTTGTGTAATTTTGTATCAAAAGAGAAAACTGATTTTTAATTAAACTTCTATAAAAATAACAAAATGTGTTACTTTTTATTTCTTATGCGGTTCTGTTAAACAAATGCAACATATCATAGCTCATCTATGACCAGGAGTGACCCAGGAGAGGGGACCAGTGATGGGGGCGGGGAGTTGGTGCTGCCTGACAGAGGAGGACAGGCCAGATGTGGCAGAAGAAGAAGAAGAAGAAGAAGAAGAAGAAGAAGAAGAAGAAGAAGAAGAAGAAGAAGAAGAAGAAAGGGTATCTTAAATTTTGCTAACCTTTCACTGCTTAGCGCAGATATTCATGGGAACATCAAAGAAAACATTCGTCAAACGTGTTCTAATTTCTTTGAGGACCTGTTTTCTTAAATGAAAGTTTTGGCAAAGATAGCAATAAAAGAACCTTCCCACATCTGTAGTAAACCTGGTGAATGCTTTAACATGTAAAAGGTAAAGGTAAAATGACCCCTGACCATTAGGTCCAGTCGTGACCGACTCTGGGGTTGCGGTGCGCATCTCGCTTTATTGGCCGAGGGAGCCGGCGTACAGCTTCTGGGTCATGTGGCCAGCAGGACTAAGCCGCTTCTGGCGAACCAGAGCAGCACACGGAAACGCCGTTTACCTTCCTGCCGGAGCAGTACCTATTTATCTACTTGCACTTTGTTGTGCTTTCAAACTGCTAGGTTGGCAGGAGAAGAAGAAGAAGAGTTTGGATTTGATATCCTGCCTTTCACTCCCCTTCAGGAGTCTCAAAGCGGCTAACATTCTCCTTTCCCTTCCTCCCCCACAACAAACACTCTGTGAGGTGAGTGGGGCTGAGAGACTTCAAAGAAGTGTGACTAGCCCAAGGTCACCCAGCAGCTGCATATAGAGGAGCGGAGACACGAACCCGGTTCACCAGATTACGAGACTACCGCTCTTAACCACTACACCACACTGGCTCTGGGACACCACACTGGAGCAGGGACCGAGCAACGGGAGCTCACCCCATCGCAGGGATTTGAACCGCCAACCTTCTGATCGGCAAGCCCTAGGCTCCTTGGTTTAACCCACAGCGCCACTCGCGTCCCTTGCTTTAACATGTAGTTACATTTTAAAAGAAAGCCATTTAATAACACCATTTTCACACTATCTGCCTCACGGTAATAAATCATCCATACATGGTGCTGCAGTCTCAGCAATCTACGTACCTAGAGCAGGAGGCAATCAATATTGCTCCAGATCTAAAGTGGGATGTGGTTTTGAGAAGGAACTCTGAAAGGATGGATCCTTAGCCCTCAATCCAGCCCCCTTTCTGATGTGCTGCCCCGCTTGCATGGCGCACAGCCCAGAAGCTCCAAGGGACTCAATGGCCACCCCATCAGCAGCACTGTAGTGCACAGAGAGACCTCTTTCCTGGACTAGAGAAAAGTACTTGCTGCAGAAGGCATGGGAAGAGGCACACAACAACAAATTTTGAATCACTACTTCTACTCATATCTTGAAAATGTTGCATTGCAATTTTCTTATTGTTCTGCAAGTACATTTTCATAGGTATTATATATTTTCTATGGCAAATGAAGACTATGACTATGTACACACCACCAGCTTAAAACACAGTGAAGTTGGACCTCCCCCCCCCTTTGCTGTGTCTCTGATTTCATGTTCTGTTCACGTCAGTGGGTGAAGAGGGAACATAGATGTCCTTTTCAAATTGGATCAAAGGTGGTAAGACACATAAAAACACAGTACTGTATTTCTCAAGGAACTACCAGTTAGAAGTGCACAGCAACACAAATTACTGGTGGGAGCAACCGGATGCCCAGGAAGTGGGAGTGAGCAAACAGCCCACATGGAGAGACACCCCTTACTCTTGCAATCCTGTGTAACAATTTTCAACTCAATAAGAAACACACATTGTAAACAATCTTTCCGCGGGGGTTGACCTTCAGTCATTTGCCCAATGAAGTCTGCTGCTTATGTATGGCTGTTGCTGACCAGAGTGAATATATTTTAATGAATGAAAGCAGAGCAGATGTCAACCTTGTCAATGGCAAGCACTTTGCAAGAATGAAGCTTGTGTTTACATTCTTATAACATACACAAACAAACTGATTCTTTTTTTTGGGGGGGGGTCTTTCACTTGGCATGGAAAAATGCATGCAAACAAAAACACAGCAAAATAGAGCTAAATTAATGTTAAACGTTGTAAAGGAAGCAATTAAGAAAAGAGTTGCTTGGTAGGTTAAAATTACTGTTTACAGAGTTTCTTCGCTGTCCAGTTGAGTTTCATTAATTACTTCAGAATTGTTATCTGCAGATATTGTATATGGCCTATGGGAAGAAATAAAATAATGTCATATGACCTTGATGTCATATTAATAATTGTTAAAAAATAAATAAGGTGTTCACCCAGACTTTTCCTCCCTCTTTAGATTGCACAACTGAATCCCAAGTAATATCTGAGTACAATCAAGGAAAATGAGTGTGTATTTATCAAATGGCCCACAAAACTGCTATCTTGAGACAACTAAAATCTGAATAAATGTTAAAACAACTAAAATACAGGAGTATCTCATGTAAATACAGCATTTCCATATGTTAAAACACAGAACTCGAACAGAATTGGGTAAAAAATTAATGCGGAATACAAAACCCTCCTGCCCATAAGATTAACTTACTTTCTACAGCTTTTGTTGTTGTTGTTAAGCACTTTTTCTCCTCCACTGATCCTGATACCAGAAGTATATTCAGCTGGATGAATAGTGCTTGGGGTGGAGGAAGGAATATGTTGGGGGGGGGTGTATGTCTGCATTCCTTAAATGCTAATCCTCACCCTCAATATATGAATTATTGGGCCTTCCATCACTTCAAGTTTGGTCCCCTGGCTCATATTGTTGTCGTGTTACATCCCCATGTATTTTCAGAAATGGGTTTCAATCCCACAAGTCCTACACGTCTTTGGAAAAGTACTGTTTCATGCCACCCCAGTCTCCGAGCAGTGAGAGATTCCAGGGGTCCTAGGCCTTTGCATTCCTTGGAAGGAGGAGCGGTGCGTCTTTATGCTATTTGGGTTATTCCTACATATATACAACCCTTACTGGATCCAGGACCCCATAATCTAGAAGGGACTCAGGTTTCAAACAGACTGACCCCCCAAACTCACACCAGTACTCTGACAACAGCATGCAGAAATTGGCCACTTCTGAAAAACATACTGGGATCTCTTTAAGGAGGTTTTCTTCTGCAGTGGCTTGAGAGGACATGGCCGGCAACAGGCAGATTTGCAGTCAATGACTTGGTAAATGACAGGGTTGTACATAGCGGCAGACTTTGCAAGTAAGGTTGGGATCACAGAAACTTTGATGGGAACTGAATTTGGCCTTCCAAACGCTGACCACACGGAGACAACCGCATAGGGTATCCAAGCAATTAGGAATCCTGCACAGATCAACATCGCCACCTGGTGAGAAGATTCATTTCATGAAATGATGAGGATAAAACCCCACTTAGTATAATAGACATATAAATATACTGTACATTGTGAGCTGTATAACAAAAGGCAGATACTGTGAAGCAAGCAGATTTTGGTTTTTTCACATTGAGAAAACCAGAACACATTTATTTAAGTTTTGACATTTATATTCAGATCTATTTCCACTTGGTATAACACAGACATTCTTTTAGCAGACATCTATGCTTAAGGTTAAGAATAAGATAAATATATATATATATATATATATATATAACAGAGGCAAAAATTAGAATGGAAGGACTCCACTGAAAGTTACGGCTAATTCATACAATACTGCAACAGCCTCTTGTCTTCTTCCATGATGCTCCAATAATAGGCAGGCAAATCACATGGATGTGGCAGATTGTATGATATTTTCCCATCCACCCATCACCCTTTATGGGGTACGGATGGGAGGGAGACATACCGTTCATCCCATGGATGGTGAATAATCCACCAGTCATGCTTGGAGAAGGCCCTCTGAAATCCATGGACATGGCTAGCCCAAGTCGAGTGACTTCTATTCTGTGTGTGATTTAGGTAAAGGTAAAGGGACCCCTGACCATTAGGTCCAGTCGTGGACGACTCTGGGGTTGCAGTGTTCATCTTGCTTTATTGGCCGAGGGAGCCAGCGTACAGCTTCTGGGTCATGTGGCCAGCATGACTAAGCCGCTTCTGGCGAACCAGAGCAGTGCACGGAAACGCCGTTTACCTTCCCGCCGTGCTTTCGAACTGCTAGGTTGGCAGGAGCAGGGACCGAGCAACGGGAGCTCACCCTGTCACAGGGATTCAAACCGCTGACCTTCTGATCAGCAAGTTCTAGGCTCTGTGGTTTAACCCACAGTGCCATCCACGTGATTTAGATGGATACAAAACTATGTGATTTGGGCATAACAGCGCACAAAAATATGCCTATGCTCTCTAGGTGAGCAGGCAAAAGTTTGATTGAACTTTTATCCTTCAGTCCAAGCAGATGACTTCCAAAAACCACTGGGAGTCCTGTACCCACCTTAGTTAACTTCATTTCCAGCACATGGGTTTTTTGAATCCTGGTGTCATAATGAGCTACTTCTTTTGTGGATGACTTGACCTTTGCTATTATTTTAATATAGGAAAACATGATCACTGCAGTTGGGAATAAGAGACAGAAGAAAAGGATATTCATAATAAAAGCCTGTCCAGCCACAGAACCTTGAGCTAGCCACCAGTCCAGGGTGCACGAGGTCCCAAATGGTTCTGGAGCATAATTTCCCAAGCCAGCAAATGGTATTGTTGCCCAAAACGTAGCATAGGACCAGATTATTCCCAAGCAGATAAAGGCGTGGCATCTCTTTAGCCAAGTACCTAGAAAAGAATAAATGTATTATTGCTAAGTAAATGCTAAAAACATGCCTATGCAATAAATATACAGTGTTACCTTGGGTTACATATGCTTCAGGTTACATACGCTTCAGGTTACAGACTCTGCTAACCCAGAAATAGTGCTTCAGGTTAAGAAGTTTGCTTCAGGATGAGAACAGAAATCGTGCTCTGGCGGTGCAGCAGCAGCGGGAGGCCCCATTAGCAAAAGTGGTGCTTCAGGTTAAGAACAGTTTCAGGTTAAGAACGGACCTCCGGAACAAATTAAGTACTTAATCCGAGGTACCACTGTACATGTACACATGTGAGTAATCCAATTTATCAGACCTTTTAAAAGTCCCTGGGAGAATGTTTAAATTACCAACCATGGAGGTTTGGCATAATTGTACGGGCCTTTCCCATTGATCTCGGTGCCCTCCTAATATGGCAGTGACCCCATGAAAACACAGGCGAGGGGCGCGCACACAAAATTGGCTAAAATATGTCCATAAATACATCTATAAATAAAAATATTGATTAGTGTGTGAGCAACTGAAGTGTGTGAGGAATTGAATGGATGGAGAGGGGGGCTGGAGGAGAGGCAGAAAAAAAAATTGTCCATGTCTGGGGGGCGCAATCTGGATGGTTCTGCCAGGGGCGCAAGATCACAAGCCCCACACATTAGGCTCCTTCCGCATCTATTGTGGAATTGCTGCTCTTTGCATACTTGCACTTTACAGGGAATCTGCATGACATTATGTTGTTTAGTCGTTTAGTCGTGCCCGCCTCTTCGTGACCCCATGGACCAGAGCACGCCAGGCACTCCTGTCTTCCACTGCCTCCCACAGTTTGGTCAAACTCACGTTAGTAGCTTCGAAAACACTGCCCAACCATCTCTGTCGTCCCCTTCTCCTTGGGATGTCTTCTTGTGCTGATCCCGGGGGGGGGGGTTACCATGCGGCGTGGTCTGAGTCTGGTCCTGGGTCGAGAGTATGGAGGCTGTCCGTCAAGGGCGAAGCGGGGTCCAAGGCAAGGAGCCGGGCGTGGTCAGGAACTCTGGAAGAGCAGGACAGGGTGCCGGCAGGAACAGGCTACCAACAATGTTGCTCCCGCAACCTGGGACTGGGCTGACTGGCCTTTATCTCCTCTGAGGCATAGGGCAGTCCCGGCCCACAGGTGACTTGCCTCCCCTGGCCTGGAGGTGAGCACTCCTCCTGTGAGAACTTAGTTCCCTCCGCCTCTCTGCCCTGAGCCTCTGCAGCTCAGGAGAGGCTGGAGGGTTACTGGACTCAGAGTCAGCCTCACCTTCCCCTGACAGGGCTGTTAGTGGAGCACCTGCAGGCAATGGGTCCCCGATCACCTCCGGAGCCAGAGCGGATTCAGCTGGTGTCTGATCCTGAGGATGCAGCACAGGTGAGGGCGCTTCAGGTTCAAGCCCCAGACCCGGCTCAGCCGGCCCTGGAGGCAGGGACTCCAGTGCAGGCTGGGGTTCCTCAGGTTCAGCCTCTGAATCCGATTCCCAGGCCATCACACTTCTCTTCTCAGGAAGTGGCCAAAGTATTGGAGTCTCAGCTTCAAAATCTATCCTTCCAGTGAGCACTCAGGGCTGATTTCCTTCAGAATGGAGAGGCTTGATCTTCCTGCGGTCCATGGGACTCTCAAGAGTTTCCTCCAGCACCATAATTCAAAAGCATCAATTCTTCGGTGATCAGCCTTCTTTATGGTCCAGCTCTCACTTCCATACATGGAATGGGATGGTTTTCGTTGCTACCTCCTGTATAATGTTGCGAGCCTCCATCCATAGTTCTTCAGGCACTCTGTCCAGCAAATCTAAATCCTTAAACCTGTTCCTCACTTCCACTGTGTATTCATAAAGGATTTGAATACCGGCCCAGTGGTTTTTCCTACTTTCTTCAGTTTAAGCTTGAATTTTGCTATAAGAAGCTGATGATCTGAGCCACAGTCAGCTCCAGGTCTTATTTTTGCTGATTTTATAGAGCTTCTCCATCTTTGGCTGCAGAGAATATAATCAATCTGATTTCGATGCTGCCCATCTGGTGATATCCATGTGTAGAGTCGTCTCTTATGTTGTTGGGAAAGAGTGTTTGTGATGACCAGCTTGTTCTCTTGACAGAACTCTATCAGCCTTTGCCCTGCTTCATTTTGAACTCCAAGGCCAAACTTGCCAGTTGTTCCTTTTATCTCTTGACTCCCTACTTTAGCATTCCAATCCCCTATAATGAGAAGAACATCCTTCTTTGGTGTCATTTCTATAAGGTGTTGTAAGTCTTGATAGAATTGGTCAATTTCAGTTTCTTCAGCACTAGTAGTTGGTGCATAAACTTGGATTACTGTGATGTTAAAAGGTCTGCCTTGGATTCGTATCGAGATCATTCTATGCAGCAATTCTGGGCTGCATCAATAGGAGCATAGCATCTAGATCAAGGGAAGTAATAGTGCCACTGTATTCTGCTCTGGTCAGACCTCACCTGGAGTACTGTGTCCAGTTCTGGGCACCACAATTCAAGAAGGACACTGACAAACTGGAACGTGTCCAGAGGAGGGCAACCAAAATGGTCAAAGGCCTGGAAACGATGCCTTATGAGGAACGGCTAAGGGAGCTGGGCATGTTTAGCCTGGAGAAGAGGAGGTTAAGGGGTGATATGATAGCCATGTTCAAATATATAAAAGGATGTCACATAGAGGAGGGAGAAAGGTTGTTCTCTGCTGCTCCAGAGAAGCGGACACGGAGCAATGGATCCAAACTACAAGAAAGAAGATTCCACCTAAACATTAGGAAGAACTTCCTGACAGTAAGAGCTGTTCGACAGTGGAATTTGCTGCCAAGGAGTGTGGTGGAGTCTCCTTCTTTGGAGGTCTTTAAGCAGAGGCTTGGCAACCATATGTCAGGAGTGCTGTGATGGTGTTTCCTGCTTGGCAGGGGGTTGGACTCGATGGCCCTTGTGGTCTCTTCCAACTCTATGATTCTATGATTCTATTCTATTCTATGATTCTATCATTTTTGAGATTGCATCCCAGTACAGCTTTCGCCACTCTTTTGTTGACTATGAGGGCCACTCCATTTCTTTTACGGGATTCTTGCCCACAGTAGTAGATATGATGGTCATCCGAACTGAATTTGCCCATTCCCATCCATTTTAGTTCACTGATGCCCAGGATGTCAATATTTATTCTTGCCATCTCATTTTTGACCACCTCCAACTTACCCAGGTTCATGGTTCTTACATTCCAGGTTCCTATGCAATATTTTTCTGTACAGCATTGGATTTTCCTTTCGCTTCCAGGCATATCCGCAACTGAGCGTCCTTTCGGCTTTGGCCCAGCCGCTTCATCAGCTCTGGATCTACTTGTACTTGTCCTCCACTCTTCCCCAGTAGCATGTTGGACGCCTTCCGACCTGAGGGGCTCCTCTTCCAGCGTCATAACTTTTATATGCCTGTTGTCTTTGTCCATGGAGTTTTCTTGGCAGGGATACTGGAGTGGCTCGCCGGTTCCTGCTCCAGGTGGATCACGTTTGGTCAAAACTCTCCACTATGACCTGTCCATCTTGAGTGCCCTGCTCGGCATAGTTCATTGCTTCTCTGAGTTCTTCAAAGGGGGCCTGACATTATACTGTAAGCTAAATGCAGCTTCTCAGGTTTTGCCCCTTTTGCTTCCTCTTCTTTTCAGAGCTTAGGAAATCTGCCTTCTTAAACTGGAGGGTTAAGGTGAGTCAGGGCACAGCTATCCCATTGCTTTTCAGCTAGAGAGGAGCTCAGACATGGGCGCTATAGATTTCCGATCTCTATGATCTGTCTGTCGCCTTCAGTTAACATTGCCGTCACACTCTTTTAAATATTCTTTTAAATCAGTTGCATTGCATCCAAATCAGGATCTGGAGCAGCAGTGAGATGAGTAGCAGTGTTTGGCCCTTTCCCTAATGCCAGGATCCTGGCAAAAAATCTCTCCCTCGTGCACACATGCACTCACGCTTGAACAAACACATACACAGGCTGGAGAAAAGGCTCAGAGTGGAACGGCTCAGAGTTTCGACGTGGGTGGAAATAGATCTGGATTGTGTTTTATCTGGGTCTGTGATATTGTTGGCCAGATATTTTCTAAAAACTTTTTAAATCTAAGATTTAAGAAATCTTTTCTAGTTTATTATGCCTAACTGTATAGTTTTGGATTTCTCATCTGCTTTTTAATTTCTACCCATCTTATTCAACTCATAGCAGTCACTCAAAATTCTAATTCTAAAGTAATTATAACACTACAGTTATGTTTAACTAACCATCTGACTATTCAAATGACTTTAGAACTCCTGATGTTCTCTACATCTATTTTATGAGCACAAAGGGATTTTTATTAATTCTTGCCCATTTACAAGGACACAATTCTTGGATGACATTCCTCTGAACAAACGTTTGCGGCTTAAATTGATGGAAAGAGAAATTTACTCCCTAGTTTCCAAAATAAAGGAGGGACATTAATCCTCCCCACCCCACCCGGTCACTTACCATACGATAAGTAGCAGATTTTGAAATATCTATCCAGGCTGACTGCTGTCATGGTAATAAGACTTCCGATGCCAAAAAAGAAACCTGCCCATCCATACCAGCGGCAGGCACTCCAACCAAAAATCCATCGATGGGAGAAAAAGGCGATGATGCTGAAAGGCTTTCCCAGCACTGGAAAGGAAAGCGCAGAGTTCAATGATCTTGCGCTGCCTCCCTCAAAGCAGCATTTCAAGAAGGAGATGCGCGAAAGTGAACTTTTCAAGCAGCGCAAAACAGCATATTCAAAAACAGAATGACATGGCAGGATTCGCAGAGCATAAACAGATCTGCCTTTTTATGCAAATAAATTACTGAGAAGAACAACAACCAAAACCAACCACACTTCATAGATAATTATTCATTCTCAGGTCGAGATTAGTAAGCTAGAATGTTTTCAGCTATTAATTTCAGAACTCTGACGCTTGAATTCTAAACATTTTAATTTCCAAAACACATTTGACCAAGATGGGGTTCCTGGTGCAAGGTGGTCTCTCATATCATTACCAATAAATATTCATTTATCCCTAGCAGGATGCAAGGTGCTGTATAGCATATGGACAATGGAGAGTTCAGGGGGGAACAGGGGCAATGGAAGACAGCCCAGGCAAGGTCATGGAGACTGAGAGAAGTCTTCGTGAAAGAACTGCGATGCAGGGAGGAGCTGGAGGTGGGAAAGTTGCTTATTTTATTTTAAGATAATTTTATCTTCCCATGATATTCCTAATACTGCTTTGCCGGAACAAATTTGCCTTCAAATATGAACCATGGCAGTTCTAGCTGCTGTTTTTGTTTTGAAAGTGTGAATTATGTGATTTCAATAAGTCACCTGAATATTAATGTAACTTAAGTGATATAAATTATTTCATTATTCTTGTTAAAATAAGGCTACATTTCTTCAGAACTGGAATTTTTTTAAATGAAAAATGTCGCAGAATGATGTCATGAGAACACACACTGTAGCTATCAGAGTGAATCTGTACCGTGGGTTCAAGGAAGCACAGCAGATTTTGGTAAGAACATCTAAATTTGCAGGATTCCTCATTTCTGCTGTTTGTGAATTTCTCTCTCACTCTCTCACTCTCTCTCCCCCCCTCTCTCTCCCCTCTCTCTCTCACACACACAATTTTCAGTGTTTCTTAAAATAATAAATGATTAAATATAAAGCTAAAAAGAAAACAAAGCTGTCATGTTTAATTAATCAATTTAACAATGTTGATCACTTATATGTTAGACCAAGTAACCTGTGGAAGTGCTAAACGTTTGGGCCTTTGAATGTCGCTAATGATTTTCTATAATCATTACTCAAGGCAGAAATGATGCCAACCGAAATCTGAATGTGAAAACCATGTAGAGTCCACGCCTGTCCATAGGAACAGGAACTATGGTAATATTTTCATTCTCAGCTCCGCTCAAGTTAAATTACCTGAAATACCCAGGTCGCACACTGCTAGATTGACAGTCATTATTTCCGCAGGCCTCAGCTTCTTTTTCCGTTGTGTAGACATATAAAGGACATATCCATTGCCTAAAGTGGACATAATCCCTGTAATGAAAAATCAAACAAAAATGGTGTCGGTGTACTCAAAAGAAACTTCAGAATATTTTCCCCAGAACTGAAATAATTTCTGCTCCAATTGCATACACAGCAATGAAAATGAACTGTAAGATTCTTGAAATGAACAAGACTAGTATAAAGAGCTGGAGAGCTCAGCCACTGCCGTTCCCTTGACATTCTTTTGCCACAAGATTCACCCCATGGCGCAACGAAATGAAGCTTCTTCACCATCATCCCTGTATGGGCTCCAAAGGCCACATCAGATGTCACATCAATCTGCGCATGTCTAAAAATGCAAATGCTGTTGTGCAGTTGGAGAGGAGGGGGGTGAACGCCAAAAAGGAAGTCCCCTTGGGGTACCTTGGGATGTGGGGGGGGGCAATAATTTTCATTGGTATGCAGGGTGTGAGTTAAATACCAACCCTTTTGCCCCATCCACTGCGGTCCTGGACTGTGCCTCTCCAGGACAGCTCTTTGCACTGGGAAAACAGGGCATGCAAACTGCATCTACACAATTAGCACTGTATCAAGTGTGGACAAAGAGGAGATGTCATCTTTGATGTGTTACTAATTTCAAGTCCCCTGAGGAAGGAGGTGCCCACTTCATTCCAGAAGAAGTTACACTACAGACCTGTGTGAAAATCAGATTTCTGAAAGAGAAAGAGCCTCCTTCACAGAAGAATACTTTCCTAGGTTCTCTGGGTAAAGAGAGCTATTATCAAACCATTTTAGATCTACGATGTAGATATGTTCTTAAAAGCTGTAACTGGCTCATATCTTGAATGTGACCATGGTGAGAAAACAGTATATGTGAACTTACACATAGGCAGGTCACAGTCCTAGGGGAAAACTACTGTTGCCTGCCAGCCCAATCTCTGAGCTGTGCAAGATCCCAGGGGGTCCAAGCGTTCACTCAGGGTCCAGGTTTCCTTTGGGACAATGAGACACAGCAGAGACAACGGTGTCTGTATGATATATGGTTTATTTACAAATACTGGTGTTCCCCCATTTGCACGTGGGTTACGTGCTGGGCCCCTGAGTACCTAAGCAAAAATCATGTGAGGAGCAGCCTCTGAAAAGCCTCCAAATGCCCATTTTTTGTCCTGCTTCCCAGCTTTCTCTCCCCAATCCAGACCAAAATATCTGGAGTTGAAGCTCTGGGGACAGCTGGAGGCTGGAGGGTGCGCTGTTAGGCAGGGAGGCTGAGCAGCCTAAACAAAGCCTCGCTGTGCCTCTGGTCTCTTTGGGGCTTCCTCCGCCCTCATGGACGTCCTCCTCAGGTTTCAGAGAGGGTCTCTTTGTGAGCCACAAGGACTCTCCAGCTCTCTTCCAGGTTTGACTCTTTTCATTTAGCGCATATACATGGTTGCGTGCTATATGATCACACGTAAGGAGGGGGGCACCTGTATATACAAGCTGAGCCTGCGATGGAGGGGTCCCCAGTGTTAACACCCCAAGAAGGTCCTGCTTCTCCCAGAGCCACAGCCTTGGGTCCCAGCAGAATTCAGGCCTGGCTCTGTCTCTGGCTTCCCAGCTGCTGCTTTTGCCTCCAGCTTCTAGCTCCCCTCCCTCCCCTCTCGACTCTGGCCTCTTGTCTTCCTAACAGACAGTGGAGGGGGGGCACCCATTCGCCCTCTGGCACAGAGCCACTCCCTTTCTTTCCTTACCAACCCACACTTGGCAGGAAATTACCATGCTGGATCGAGGACTTAGAAAGGGGGCTCAGGCATATAGCCTAACCTCCTCCCCACAACTCATAACACTCTTAATAAAATCATGAGACGTAAAGCTTTTTGACCCTACAATGGATTCAATGGTAAAGTGTTCACAGAAGAAAACCTTGACGGAAAATAGATTCACACTAATGGAAAGGCTGCTTAAATGAAAAGCACCCATTTTTGTTTTCTATTTTCATTGTGTCAAAAATTCATCCACAGAATCAAGAAACCATTAATATTCCAAGAGATAATATTTAAATTCATCAATTTTTATTAGTTTCAATATTCAAAGACGTGCAATAGAAATATATGGATTTGGGCTGTTTGTTGTTATCACTCCCCTCCCATGGCCTCCAGTGTCTCTTCACTTTCCTGTGATGCCTATCCCCCCAGTTCTCTCTTATATCTTCGCCAGAATTTCGAAACTTATTCAACAGATCTGAAGGTCTTCCTCCTGTCTTTAAATGTAAAGGAAATCCTCTCAGGGAATTCCCATTTGTACCTTACATCAGTGTTTCCTGACCTTTTTTGGGCAAAGGCACACTTGTTTCATGAAAAAAATCTCGAGGCACACCACCATGCCAGATGGGGAAAGGTCACTTTTTACTTATGTAAAAAAAATATTAAAAATAGTAACAGCATAGAAGGTAATGAAAGGATATGTTGATGGTTCAAAGGGGAGTCAAGAGAAAACTTGCTTCACCAGCAGATCAGTAAGCAATTAGGAAATAAACTTTGGTGCTCTGAGGTATACAAAAGTTAACCGTGGAAAAGAATGTATATGCTTGCTGCAAATAGTGAGATGATGCAACATTAGTTATGGGGGCGATCCGTCCAAATGTAACACTTTTAGGTCATTTTCAGTAGGAAAGATTTAAGAATGGGTTGCATCTCCCCCCCCCCCCCGGAATGGCTTAAAATAGTGATTCCCTTGGGTTGCACACCCTGTTCTATGCATTTGTTGTTGAGAACTGGCGCATCTGGGACTCCTGGGCCAGGTGAGAGGGACGTTGGCTTTGCCTCTTGGCGGTTTGAGAAGCATCCCTGACCTTTGCAGGTGTCCACACACTTCCACGTCGCGCTCCTGGGATCGTGTGGGGACTAAGAGACGGCCGGAGGGGGGTCTGGCGAGCCCCTGGGCACGATCACCCTCGATTACGGGGAGCAGGGGACTCTTCTGAGGGGAAAGCGGAGCGCAAGGGGGGGGAGAGTGCGCTCCCCGCCAGAACCGAAAGGAAGAGCCGGTTCGGGGCGGGGGGGAGCCAGAGCAGCGGCTGCCCCCCTCCCGGCTCCCACGGGGCCTTCCGCCTGAGGGAAACCCTTTTCCCGCCCCCGGAGAGCCTCGCGCGCGGGGTCCAGAGGGGGGAGGGGGAGAGAGGCAGAGAGCAGAGGGCGCACACACCCCCAGCCACGCATGCGCGCCTCAGCCGCGCCTGCTGGGCGGTCCTTTCCCCTGGGCTCCGCCCCTCGCGACACAGGGCCGCCCGTCGCAGCGTTGTCCCGCGGGGCTGGCGCCGGGCGCGGCCACGGATAGAGCGAGCGAGGAGCGAGAGCGCGCCCGCCCTCGGCTGGCTGACTGGCTGGGCTGGCGCGGCGAGGGGCAGAGGCGAGAGGCTGCGCGCGGATCCGGCGGCGGCGCGCCCCCGCCGCCGGAGGAGAGCAGAGGCAGGAGGAGGAGGACGAAGGCGCTGCCGAGGAGGCGCGCCAACTTCAGCGCCCGCCCCGTCGCCGCAGGCTCCTCCCGGCCGAGAGCCGAGAGGATCGGCCGGCGGCGGAGCAGGAGGAGGAGGATCGGGTTTGGCGACGGCTGCTGCGTCCTCTCCAAGCGCGGGGCTGGCCTCCGCCGCGCCCGATCCTCTCGCCTCTCGCCGCCCGACTCGCCCGCCTCCCTCCCACGGCACACCAGGCAACGTCTCGCGGCACACTTGTGTGCCGCGGAACACCGGTTGGGAAACACTGCCTTACATGATTGCTCTTTGAGGCCTCTGTTATTGTCCTGTAATTCAGCCTCTTTTTAAGAAGTCTTTTTGGTATTTCTTTGTATATTATTATATTTCTCGTCAATCACCAGTTTCCTTTTCTGCAAAATTTTATCTTTCAGCAGTCTTGAATTCAAAAAGACCAGGCAATCTCCTGGTCCTTTGGTTGACTTGTTTGTTTTCCTGATCTTATTCTGAATATTTTATCTATATCTTGTAGCAATTCATCTTTTTGTACTCCTAGCCAACTGGTGAGCTCTTTTGATAGTTTAGCTTCTATATCTTCATCTTGAGTTTCTGGGTCACCTCTAAAGCACAGAATGAGTTCTCTTCGATGCATCTCAAGAATTGCAATCTGGTCTAATGTTTCCTCCTGCACTCTCTTTAATTCCGTCATTTCCTCCATGATTGTATTCTGGACCCTCTTCAGGTCTTTATTCTCGTTATGGATCTTCTTAGTTATTTCTTTTGTGAGTTCCTCATGCTTATTAGTTCTGGATTTTAGATCTTGAACAGTTTTCTCTATGTTCTTGATAGTCAAATCTTTTAGCTGTCCAGATAGATCCATTATTAATTTGGAATTCTGTTCTATCTTGCTGCCCATATTATCAAGATTGTCATTTATTGATTTATTCATTCCTATGATGAGCTCTCTTTGGTCTACATTGGTGTCTAGTTCAGCTGATTGATGTCTTGAGGCTACTGTGGAGGTCATTTGTGTGGTTTGATTTTTCTTATTTGCCATTATGACTGTCTTTCTATGTACACACAAGTATAAACTTTGTCCCAGTCTTAGTTGACTCCTTTTGATTATTATTTACAGTTTTCCAACAAATATAATTAAATAAAATAAAAAGATTAAGAAAATATATAGAATTAAAATTAAAAATGAGCCTCAGTATCTGTACTTCCTTATTTTAGAGAGAACTGGGTGGTACTTGGTCAGTTAACTACCCCCCATTTGGGGTTACTAGATCTTAAATTCCAAATCCTTCCTTTAACAATGATAACTTGAGGAGCAATATAACACACCCCAATTAAATAAAAAGGGATTAATTTGTTTCTGTAATTCTATTTGTACACCTTTATATCCGTTAAATTGCATAATACCAATGTATCAGATTTATCAGTTTATCAAATTATATTACTTTACAAACTTTGAGGGACCCATGCAATCAATTGCTTTTTACATTACATTATAGCATCAGTGGTGCTGGAGGAGACTCTTGAGAGTCCCATGGACTGCAAGAAGATCAAACCTCTCCATTCTGAAGGAAATCAGCCCTGAGTGCTCACTGGAAGGACAGATCCTGAAGCTGAGGCTCCAAGACTTTGGCCACCTCATGAGAAGAGAAGACTCCCTGGAAAAGACCCTGACATTGGGAAAGATGGAGGGCAGAAGGAGAAGGGGGCGACAGAGGATGAGAAGGTTGGATAGTGTTCTCGAAGCTACTAACATGAGTCTGACCAAACTGCGGGAGGCAGTGGAAGACAGAAGTGCCTGGCGTGCTCTGGTCCAGGGGGTCACGAAGAGGCGGACACGACTAAACGACTAAACAACAACAAATAGCATCAATATAAATCAACAGGCTCTTTGAATTCGTACAGGTTAGTAAATGCTTATAAAATTGATTGATTGAGCAGTCTTGTGGAATTTATTACTTGAACAGTCTTGTGGAATTGAATAGTAGATTCTGTTGTTGGGATGGATGGGATACTCCTATAGTCGTGAGGCAGATGGTATTGGTCTATATATATATATATATAGTCTATATATAGTCTATATATATATGGTATTGGTCTCTCTCTCTCTCTCTCTCTCTCTATATATATAGACCAATACCATATATAGGTATTGGAGGCGCAGTTGCCTCGTCCCTCCACTAGGTGTCCTTGCCATCTTGGTTGTATCTCTTCACTCTGGCCATGAATCGAAGTTTCTTCCTCTTACAGGAGGAGGAGGCGATGGCTCAGCTTCTTGTCTCTGCCATTCTTCTTCACTTTTGCTCGCTGCTGGCCTCCCTTTCTCCCTGTTCCAGCCATTGCTCTCTCCCGCTTCCCGCCTCTTTCCCCTTCGCTCTCTGCTCCTCCAGCCGCTGCCTCCGCCCTTCACGCCATCCTTCGCTTCCCTGCTCCCTCCCTCCGCGCCGCGCTTCTTTCTCCCGATGCTTTATTTGTAAGGATATTTTCTGTTTTTCTGCCTTTAAGTCTGATATGTTTCCGCCTGCTTTCCCTTCCCCCTCTTGCTACTGTTCCTTTGTCTTTATGCGCAGTGCAAGTTGTAATAAAGAATTTTCCTCTAGATTCTGATGAAATGTCTTCAGTCTTATTGCGGTGTAATTGCTGCAAGGTCATTTAAACTGCAGTTTGAACTGAGGAGTTATGGCGGATCTCCTGATCCAGCTTTCTGTTTTAAAGTCTTGATACAGCCTGGTGCTTCTCCCCATTCTCTTTCTTTTCACTCAGGTCTTGGGGACGGGGATGGCGGCCCTCCCTCTTTGTCGCCCTGAGGCTAAAAGGCCGATTCCTTCCTCTTCACTTCTGGTGCTCAAGGTCCTCAAGGCACCTGCTGGCTTCTGACATGGCAGCCCCAGGAGCATGAACTTGTCCCGCCACATAGGAGGCCCCTTTCCATAGGAGGGCTTTCCATGGGTGCCTCTTGTGGATCGGGGCTTTCCCATTTGAGCAAAGGCTGGAAACAAAGCCTTGCATGTCTTCCTACAGGGCGGAGGCCGCTGGCATCTGTCGGTAGAGCACGAGACTCTTCATCTCAGGGTCCTGGGTTCAAGCCCCACGTTGGGCACAAGATTCCCGCATTGCAGGGGGTTGGACTAGATGACAGACTTTGGCTTGCATGACAAGGTTTCCTTTCCCTCTTCTTCCCCCTGCATCCCTCTGTGCAGCTCAAAATCGGCTCCAGAGGGTTGGGCAGATGCTCTAGGGCAGATTTGGGAGGTGCAAAGGGGGCTGTAGGGAGAGGAAAAGTACGCAAAGCTTTGCTGCACAAGCAGAGGTGCCTCCCCCCCCAACGGTGAATTCTACCTGTTATGATTATTTGTAATTTTCCCCAATATGTGTTCTGTTATATTTATTGTTGTTGATTTGACATAATGTGAGCCACCTTGAGGCCAAATTTTAACAGATGAATGGCTTATGAAGTTTCCATTCGCAATACATTTTGGAATCCCCATAACCATCTAATAACAGGAAAATGGCTATCATGAAGCTGCCAAAGGGGGGATAAAGGGGGGTGGGGTCCCCCCATCGGATTAGGGCGCGATGGAAATCAAAACTCATATTATCCACCCACACTTTATTTTCATGGTTGATACTTGGATATATCTAGTTCCTTTGCAGACACCCAGAGATAGTACTATACGGTATATTCACGGGAATAATTTGAGAATCTTACCAATTACTAATAAATAAAATCCAGCAACTATGTCAGCTTCTTTTGAGAGTTTTGATTCAAAGGGGTCTCCATGTTGCTCGTAGGGAGGAAGAGAGACATCTTCAGATGAGATGTTTTGTTTTGAGTCCATTTCAGTCAAATAGAAATTAGTACCTGAGAAGTAGAATAATATTAATGGCGCATACCTGGCACAATGCTACAAATCTAGAAACCTTTTCATTTATAAAAATGGGGAAATACCAAAACCTTATTCCTATTTGATGGAAGTTTTTAATGTGAAATGCCCACCTCGGATTTTGTGTTTGATTAAAACTGATTAAATGGTGTTGGCTGCACCAATAGGGCACTTCTATGCACACTTACATGGGTGTAAGCGTCACTGAATGTGGAGGCTTACTTCTGAGTAGGCATGCTAAGCACTGCCCTGTTAATGGTCTGGTACTTACAAGATGTAACCACGTAACAATTTTAATGCAAAATTTATTCTTAAAATTATTCATGTGCTGGGCAGGGGAATGGTCAGCTGGGGTGAACAAGCCTAATAATTAATAATATGGAAGTAAATGCAGTGGTACCTCGGGTTACAGACGCTTCAGGTTACAGATGCTTCAGGTTACAAACTCTGCTAACCCAGAAATAGTACCTTGGGTTAAGAACTTTGCTTCAGGATGAGAACAGAAATTGCACGGCGGCAGCAGGAGGCCCCATTAGCTAAAGTGGTGCTTCAGGTTAAGAACAGTTTCAGGTTAAGAACAGACCTCCAGAACAAATTAAGTTTTTAACCTGAGGTACCACTGTAGTAGCAATAATACTGAGAGCAGCAGCTGCAGGCAGAAGGATGGCCCTCCCTGCCTGTGCGCTGTGATTTCCACACCTCAAACATCCCTCCCAGGACACCATTAGGCTTCTGGAAAGCCTTCCATGGGGCTTAACTGGGACCAGAATGGAGGACTTGTTTGAGGACAGATGGCTGAAGGTTGTGCCTCAGCCCACATTCCTTGAGAGTGCCAAGAGGAAGGAATCCCTGAAACACCATCAAAGATCTTCTTTTTTATTTAGGGTGCAATTCTATAGCTGCCCAAATGTATAAGGAATGCATCCAACAAATTTTAACGTTTTATATTGCTGTAACCTATCCTGGGACCTTACGGTGAAGGGAGGGTAAGAAATTGAATCTATGTACTACTCAGAGTAGACCTATTGAAAATAACAGGTCTTACTCATGTCTGTTGCAAGACCTGAAGTGGCTTTCCTTCCCATTCACTTTGATGGGAGCGATTTTTATTTTTTTAAGTGAGACACTGAAACAAAATGGGGGGGGGGGGAGACCTGCTTGACTTTCCCCCTGGCTGGAAGTGGTGCTTTTCCACCAGGAAATCTTCTCTCTGCTATTTACCAAGGGTTTCCATACAGAGAAATAAAAAAACTTTCCAGCAGAATTTCGTCTATATGTTCAATCATTTAATAAATAGGTTCATAGTTCTTCCTCTGAAACGATATTCCAACTTGGGTGGAGGCAGGCAGACCCTTAAAGTTGGTGGTAAAACATGAGAAGCACCAGCTCAAAGATATAATCAAATAATTATTAATTATAATAGTGAAGCCATAGATTTTATTATGCAGATGCAATTACCTGGCCATATTAGGAGACTTACATGCAAGAAAGTATTTTAGAACTCTTTATTTTATACTAAGAATGGTTTTCTTGAGTTTTATTTGAAAACACAGTACACCCTTTTGAGCTGTGTCCTTATTTGCCTGAAGAACTTGAAAGGGCAATGTAGGCAAAAACAAAACACTAAGTCCCAGTCCTGAAGAGCTTTCTGTGGTGGAGGAGAAGACGCAACAAGCAGAACGGAGGGAGGGAAGGGTGTCAGCGGGGGATGTGAGCCAAGGAAGCCTTGGAAAGAACTTCCCCGACACTCTGCCCTGCATCTAGCTGCCCTGTATTAAAGAGATTTAAATATCACATCCCAAGTTGGGCAAGGGAGGAAGCATGGTGAAAAGCTTAGATGTAGTATTTGACAAAGATAGCCTGACAGCAGAAGGTGAATGCCTGTAGCATCTCTGGAGGTTTAGGATTTGTTTGTTTTTTACCTTTTCTTATACAGTGGAATCTACCAAACAAATAGCAGATTCTGCTGGTTTCTGTGGGTCAAGCAAGAAAGAGTGACAGGATGGACTTATATTTGAATGCAATACGGAAAAAATGTGAGAGAGAAAAGAGTGGACTCAATGGGTGAATGGCCAGCCTTGGACTGCCTTTCGCTCAAAACAATTTAGCCCTGTGATTTAAGTAATGATTTTATGAATTCCACAGGAATTGGGTGGATCTGGGTGGTTTTACAGTCATATTGGACAACTTTGGAAGAGTTGAGTTGAGGACCACAGTGCTAGATTGCTGTCAGTGTCTAACAGGACAGCCTTCATCAACCTTTCCAGACCTGCCATTCCCATTTAACTCCCATCACCAGATACAGGAATTTTTATATTTTAGTTATGCGTATTTGCCTTTTTCATTCTCTCTCTTTCGCCTGTTAAAGTGTAAAAAGACAAAGAAAAATAGTGGTTGTGACATGAATAGGATCCACCCCATAATTAGACACAACTGAATGGTCACAACCCTCACACTAAAAGCTTATAAACTAAACTAAAGCACCTCCTTCACTTTCTTTATTGTCATATATTATTCAAGTTGCCTCCTGCCTAAATTATTGCCTGAAAAGGAAGGAAGAGAAGGGAACACCAGAGTAGCTCTTATTAACTTGAAATGCTGCTGCTAGCATTCCAATTGTACTGTGGATCTTCACCTGGAATTCTTACCTTTTCTGAGAGATCAACAAAATAACATTTTGGTTCATTTAAAATTGAAAGAGGGGCACAAAATAGGACCCTTTTTTTGCACCATCATCTTCTTTTGGGAGTATGTGAAGCTCTTCAACAGGTAAAATGGATAACTGGTTTTCAGTTAAAGCCATTTGAAAACCCCTAAAAGTGCAGGTGTTATTGTCAGATTAATGCTGCTGTAATCCAAATCTTTTGTACTTTAAATAAATATAGCACATCGGCAAGTAAAAGATTCTAGACATGATAGCTGCAACAATCTGAACCCCCTATTAGTACATTATCTTTATTTTAAATAAGCCAATCAATTTTAATCTCAGTCTCTTGTTTTAAAGGTGCCATGCAAGTTTCTTAAGTCTCGTTTACTGAAATCACATTTCCTTGAAAACAATGGGAACTAAATTTGATGGGATGATGCCCAAACTTTGTAAATGGGGAACACCGATTCCATTGTGCAAGCCTAAAGGAGCATTAATAAAAGCCAAGGACTCCTCAGCAAGCTTTCTATTTAGACTTGCAGCGCCGAAGATGTGACACACTGTATTGTACAGATTGCAGCTGTACAAAAGCCGCTCCTTCAACTATCTATTCTCTTGTGGAGCAAGACATTACCCAGACAACAAAAGTTATTCTTAAAATGACCTCATATTTCACACACACGCACACACACGCAGAACCCTCAGATATACCCTTGAGCAAAAATGTTCTTAAAAGTTAGAAAAGAATTCGGAAATACCTGTGTCTTGAGTTTTGCACAGTACATCCCTCCAAGCTCTGCTCTTGGTTTCCAGATGAGAAGTAATTCCTTGACTACTGTCTATGCCGAATTGTGCTCTTTTCAGCGGAGATGTGGCAAGTGGTAGTCAAGAAGAGGAAAGGGCTTCCTCACAGCCTGGCAGGATGTGCTGTTCCCCATGGGCTCGCTGCTCCATCCCACCCGCCTTCCCCGCTTCCCGCATGCTGGGGCTTGAGAGTCTGGCCTTTTAGCACCTGCTTGGAGCTCTTTCTCCGTCTGGAGCAGCAGCCCCTCCCCTTGGGGACCTGCCCAGTCAGAGCTCTGAGGAGCCAATGAGAGAACAAGAGGCAGGGAGAGATGCTTCGGATGCTGCTTCAGTCCTGGACTTTGCCTGTGACTGGGGTGAAATTCCACATATAAATACTGGTATTCTCTTTTGCTGCTAGCTGCTGTTCATTTGCAAAAATTGATGCAGTTTTACTATGTAAAATTCAATAATTATTGGAAGGATCATGCAAATCTTGTTTGAATGAATCGTCTATTTTTGACTTATTTTTTTCCCCAGGAGCCAACATTTCACAGATCTTGTCACCTTTCAAGCCAGAGGTTACGTGTTTAGAGACATAACCAAAACAACACATAGATTTCCATAGACCAAATTGAAAAGGTGAGGATTTTACATAGCCCAAAAGAGCCTCCCTTTAGCAGTGACAAGCAACACCGATGATTTGTCTATAGTACAAAATTTTCCTGTTATCTGGTGTCCATAAAAGAAACAGAAGCTCTGCAAACATAGTTAATTAATGCAAGTGCCTGAGCTAATGATGTTCATCATGTAGGGTATTTTTAGTTTATTGATGGTTAAAGAGGATGAAGAAGGTCTACTTTTGCTGATAAGTAAACTCAGGGGGCAGAATTGAAAAAAGAGAATGAAGACAGATGTGTCCTTGTGTACTCTAAGTAATCTTATTTTTGTCATTGAAAATCCACTGTCCAAGAATGTAAATGCTTAAAAACAATCTCTTAACTTTAGGTAGTATGGATTGTGAAGTCTGGGACCCCACCAAACTCCCAACTGCCTTCATCAGATAATACTAGATAATTGTGGTCATTTGGAACCTTTTTCATCTTCATTTTACTGCTAACAGATGGAGAGTTGTTTGCTGTTAATTCTGGAAACACTTTGAGTAAAACATTCACTTATTTGCAAAGCTAAGCATCTGCAATTTATTCTAGCCTAGCTGAAGCATTTTTGTGGGGAACAAAGCTACACAAATTTTCATGTGCTTGGAGCAATCACCATTGTGCTTATCTCAGCTACGAGAGAGTAAGAAATCTCTCTTCCAAACCTCCCTCTCTCCAGCCTTGACCTGCTGGTCTGCAGGCTGATCCTGCCCCTCTCCAAACTTATTTCTGTACCCACCCACTTGAATTTGGTGGCGGGATTGGTGGAGGATATTCAGGCCTGCAAACACTGGACTTTACATGCACTTCCTTGGCAAATCCAGTGTTGCCAGGTTTGCAGCATCCATTTGCTGGCCCCAAAGAAATGCGTGTCCTCCTTGGCTTAACAAGCTAAGGCATCTTCCATCACAGCAGCAGCAGCAGCAGCAGCAGCCCTTCTGGCCTTGTACACGATGACTGGATTGCTGTTGTGACAACAAGAGGCTGGAACCAGCAAAACAGGGCAAAGGAATCTGCAGCTCTAGTAAAATACAAATTTATCACATTTTTGTTCCTGCCTGGAAGAGAGATGGCTGAGGTCTTTTGGGCCTTACATGGTGACTGGCTGAGTGGTGCAGAGAGCTGACTGGCTGGGGAGTGGGAGATTGACAGAAAAACCCAGGAGTCTCTCAAAGTTCAAATGAAAGGACTTGAGTATGGAGGGGGCAATAAAAAGTGTGGCTTTGAGATTTGGGGAAAACTATAAAAATAATATAAATATAAAAATATATATAAAATATAAATATAAAAATAATAAGGGACACGGGTGGCGCTGTGGGTAAAACCTCAGCACCTAGGACTTGCCGATCGCATGGCCGGCGGTTCGAATCCCCGCGGCGGGGTGCGCTCCCATCGTTCGGTCCCAGCGCCTGCCAACCTAGCAGTTCGAAAGCACCTCCGGGTGCAAGTAGATAAATATGGACCGCTTACCAGCGGGAAGGTAAACGGAGTTCCGTGTGCTGCGCTGGCTCGCCAGATGCAGCTTGTCACGCTGGCCACGTGACCCGGAAGTGTCTCCGGACAGCGCTGGCTCCCGGCCTATAGAGTGAGATGAGCCACAACCCTAGAGTCTGGCAAGACTGGCCCGTACGGGCAGGGGTACCTTTACCTTTACCTTATAAAAATAATTGCTTGGCGAGACTTCCGGGTTACTCAAGTCCATGGGACTCTCAAGAGTCTCCTCCAGCACCAGAATTCAAAAGCATCAATTCTTCGGCGATCAGCCTTCTTTATGGTCCAGCTCTCACTTCCATACATCACTACTGGGAAAACCATGGCTTGAACTATACGGACCTTTGTTGGCAAGGTGATGTCTCTGCTAGACAGCATCTTAAAAAAGCAGAGACATCTGATTCATTAATATATGGTAATTGGTTTAGATGATGATGATAATAAACTTATTGTTTCTACCCTGCCCATCTGACTGGGTTGCCCCAGCCACTCTGGGCAGCTTCCAACATATATAAAAACATAATAAAACATTACCCACATATAAGCATTAATGATGCTGTGGTATTAGCTATAGGCAAGAAGCAACTTTGGGTGCAAATATCACTTTAATAATACAGTCTCTCAGGAAACAAGAGCTAGAAAAATAGCAGATAGTTATTTTATGTAACAATTGATAGTTCAGCACTTACAAGCAAGTAATAGGTTGCCAGCATAGTGTATTTATTTTCATTCATTTGGTATATTTATAATACACTCTTCACCATACTAGTCCCCAGTACACATTGCAGTACATAAAGTCCACAACATCACATAAAATTAACTAATACAATCAAAACTGCAATTCAACAGAGCATATTGGATAAGACTGAACACTGCATTCACACTATATCTTGAATGGCATTTATTTTATTGCATAACAGGGAGGCAACAGAGGGAAAGGGTGGTTCGGCAAGGTTTGTGAGATTTAGCCTTATTTCCCCTTTCATTTCCCCAGAGTTTATTCTGGGAACATGATGGTCAATGATGAACCAGTTTAAGGTCTTTGCTGGATACTTTACAGAAGGTTTAGGTTTGCAAGTCAGATGCTTTGACGCAGCACTCATCCAGAGTAAAAAGCTATGCACTTTTGTTGTTCTATTTCATGAAAGGAGAACACACTGGAGACCTGAAGAGCAAAGTTATTAAAGAAGTATGGAGATTTGCAGTCATTTTGCATGTAGGAGATGGTCACATTCTCAGCTCTTTCTGGTTGTTTTTCATGGTCCAGAAGGACCATGGCACAGAGACACACAGCAATTCCTTAAATATTGGATTTGATGGAGTAAATATCCTTTGTGAACTGCAAAGTTTGCACTGTGTTGACAGGGAGGTGTGATCATATTTCAGGAAGCTGTTGCCATTGATTGATATCTGATAGCAGTTTTTCTTGACATCAGCTTGAAAGAGTCACCTGGCTGGAAGAGCACACCGAAAACCTCTTCTTCCCAGGGTCCTTCTATGCACATGATTGTTGGCCTTTCATCCAACCATGGGTTGAAGTGGGAGGCTGCGCCTCTGTTATAGCACACTAGATCAACTGTGCTTAACAGTGGAGAGATGTTCATTGATGTTAGTTAGTCTTCTATGCACACCCTGTCATGTGACAAAGACACATGAGAGCAGAAGCAGCAAAGCAGGCTGGGAGGTGCTGGGACTGCACAATCATTTGGACCTACTAAAGTTATTCAGGCCTAACTGCTAACTGTGGAGTCACTCTGGCATGGGACTCATTCTCCTTATAAGAGCAGCCATTTTCTCTCTGTGTTCTCTGTAAGATTTCAGTCAGTCAGTCTGCCTCAGTTGTGATCAGTATATAATCTCAGTCAAACTGTTTGGAACCATGTTGTTTATGAAGAAGTTTATTTTAATTCAGTAAAGCTTTTATTCTTTAAAACTCTGCATTATTAATTTACGCTGCACATCACACCCAATGCGCAGCAAACAGATTTATTTCTTTTGTCTGAAAAAACTAGTGAGTGACTTTTATCTCTGAGCTTTCTGGATAAGCCCTGTCCTTTGCTTCTGTGTCTGCTGGGCTCCAAAGTGTTTGTCTTCATCTCCAAAAGCCTCTCCCAGTCATAGCTGGGAACTGAAGGCACAGGCTTGAGGAACAAGACCCAAGGTAGAAGGAAGACTAGACATTCATGCGACTCATCCTGGTTCAAATCCCCTGAAGAAGTTCCTGCAATTAGACTAACCTGTTGGCAGGCAAATGCCCCGAATGAACCGAGTTCAGGGAGGCTGGTGGGGCAGGATTCCAGGAGCTCAGCAGTAGGTGGCGGTAGAGGCGATGACAGGCAAAACCACGTGATTCTGGTTTTCCTTAAATCCTCCTCCCTCTGCTGGCTGAGTTCCAGGACTGATAAACAAACAATTTTTCCATGTAGATTTGCTTTCTGGAGTGAGATCTATGAATGCAGATTCCTTGTCTGCATTGCAGGGCATAGATATTTTGCAATGTGGAACCACTGCCCTGCCCACTTCCTCAGGCTACCGATAACAGCATATGATGAGCTCTGGATCACAGCCACTGACGTTTTCTTTCGCCTTGCGTGGCCAGGGGGCATGTGGTGCTGTTTCTTTATCCTTACTGAAGGAATTGACGAAAACTGCACACACAAGTGTTCTCTTGTGTTAGGAAACCGGATAATGCTTAGCCAAAATAAGCGCAAAACACAAGATTCCATTTGCTTTCCATTGAATAATGAACAGAGAGGAAAAGGGGCTTATTTGAGTAAATGAGACTGTTTAATATTGTTCAGCATCTGCATAAATGCATCACATAAAGTTAATACTGTAAAAGCTGTGTTTTTCTGAAATGGTCAGATACTGTCATGGACCAGTTTGCTGCAGAGGAATGGTGGGGGGGGGGACCAGCAGGAGAACCCCCAAGGCAAG